CGATCAGGAGGGAGATAAGGGACGCTAGCGATAAAGGAGGCTGCCTGGGAGTGGGGAGGTAAAAGCACATGGATCCTCAGGATTTTTGCATTGGGTCACCCCAAATTCACCATCAGATCACATAGCATGTCCATAGCTACAGCCTGCACCAAAAAAAATCATGCATCCACTGTTTTGTGGGGCCGCAATGGCGCAAAAACGTGGTTATAAAGCACAGATCCACATGGATTCTCAGGATTTTTGCATTGGGCTACCCCAAACTCACCGTCAAATCACGTATCATGTCTGTGGCCACAGCATGAACCACAAAAATCATACATCCACTGTTTCGTTCAGAAAATATTTTTTTTCTTGCTTTCCTCCTCTAAAAACTAGGTGCGTCTTCTGGTCAGGTGCGTCTTATGGAGCGAAAAATATGGTAGATAGACGTCTGTCAGGGATTCTTTAACTGTGATTCCTGCAATGCAGGAGGGGAGAAGGGCTCTTGTGCTTGAATCCTGCTGTCAGGTTTCCCAAAGGCACCTGGCTGGCCGCTGCTGGACCAGATGGGCCATTGGCCTGATCCAGCAGGCTTTTCTCATGTGCGTACTGACGGAACTCAAAAAGATGAATGGCTAGCATTAAAAAACAACTATTTTTCTCTCTCCCATCGTAGGTCAGGGCAAGGGGTTTAGCTATATCACTGAGAGGTTTCTGACGAGAAACAAATTCCTTGATGTCCTGGGAAGATGGCAAGGGTATTCCTTTTATGGCGCCTCCTCTCTTCCTGCTATGATGCCTCTCGGATCAGTAGTCCTTTGATCTGCCCCTAAGCTTGCCATAAATAATGCAAGGGAGAGGGATTCAACCCAGCTAGAGGAAAGGCCGGCCAGCAGAGCCTAGATAAGGTTGCCACATAACGTTACTCCTCCTGCTACGCCCCTGCAATCAAAGCCAAGATCTCCATTTTGCACACCTTTCCCAGAGACCTGAGGGGAAGCAAATGCGTCGCAAGATGCACCCGGCTTTTTTAGCCTGAGGTGAACCATGGTTTTGATGCCAGTGGTCCATCCTCAATCAAATTAGGCTGGCGTTGTGGATTTCTTCAATAACTGTACTGTTGTAATGTTTAGGTGGAGTCCCCAGGCTTATATAGAGGCATTCCCTCGCCTTAACACTTCGCTTGCATAGAAATAGAGTCACGTCCTCAGAGGAAAAGCATGCCTGCACTATCTGAGCTGGATACCTGATTTAGCAAGAAGAACAGTGTGCCAACTCTCTATCTCTCTATTCCCTCTTTAGGGAAGCTTTTAATGTTTGATGCATTACTGTATTTTAAAATATTTTGTTGGGAGCCGCCCAGAGTGGCTGGGGAAGCCCAGCCAGATGGGCAGGGTATTATTTATTTATTTATTTATTTATTATTTATTTATTTATTTATTTATATCTTAGGGGCTGCCACAGAGAAGACCCTCTCCTGGGCCAGCCCCCCTGAACTTCTGAGAGAGGTGGAACTACAAAGAAGGCCCCCTCAGCTGATCTTAACACCCGGGAGGGACTGTGGGGAAGGTGGCTGCCTTTCAAGTATTTGGGGGTCTTATCGGACTTCGAACACTAAGATGAGCGCCTTGAGCTTTGCCTAACAGATTTCCCTAAAATGCATATTTATGCACACTTTCTCCTACCACTAGTTTTTGGTTTTTAGAACCACCTCCTGAACTTCAGAGAAGTGCAAGATTCAGAGGGCTGCATTTGGTTTCTGGGTCTTGCTTCAGGAAGTGGGAATGCGGAAGGCTGGCATCGAAACACAAACCGAACCGAATTTCCCCTCCATCCTTAACCTCTGTTGCAGATCTTTCATTTTGCCGTCGAGCAGCAGTTGTGTGTCGCATATGCTTTTAAAAAGGCAGCTGCTCAGCACCACAAAGGAAAATGGCAATAAACTAAGTGCCTTTTCCTGAAATAGCATGGGGCAGATTTTACTGCCACGCTGGGGTTCTTTTCAACAGATGCTCTGCAGGAAGGGAGATGAATCGCAGACAGTTACGGCCGGGGATCTCCAAGGGGAGCATGAGTTTTATTTGAAACAATTTCATTTCCTTTTGGCCAGGTGCCCAAACATCAGCAGACAGCTCCTTCCCCGTGAGAAAGGAAACATGTTGTTAGGGTTGGAGAGGGGGGATGTCTTAGAAAAACCAGCAAAATACCCTGCCACCCCCTGCCATTCCTTTGCTGCCCTCTTACACAACTAGAATTAGAGGATATTGTTCCAGCAAAAACAAACTCTTTTGAGAATGCGGCCACATTCATACTGTACTCTTAAAGCACTTTCATGCCACGTTAAACAGTCATGCTTTCCCTCAAAGGATTCTGGGAGCTGAAAAATGGCGGGAGTAAAGGGAAATTTGGGGCGGTATCCTTCTGTTTTCAAGGGGGGAATCGTGCAAGAACTGAAAGCTGAAGGCGGGCAGTAGCGACGTTGTCCCAAAACATTTGCTGTGCCCAAGACCCTAACCACTACGCTGCGCTGTCTCTGTGGTTTGGGTATCAACTTATTTGATGTCATTTTATTGAAATGGCTTTTATTTTTTAAAAAATTAGTGGTAGTAAACAAGGCGCATTTTGGTAGGGTTGGTTTTGATGGGCCTTCCTGAAGGAGTTGGCTAGAACCAACTGCTATTCTCTCCTAACTGGTTCTGTGTGGGTATCCTTAATTTGCATCTTCTTCCTTCGTCCCTTGTCCATTTATTATTATTATTATTGTTGTTATGATATTCTAACAGTAAACAAAAGGCTACGTGCTTCACCCTCCGTTGGCTGATAGCATCTCCGGACAGGGAAAATTTCCATTGGCCCTGTTTGCCTCAGGGAAAAGGGCACAGGAGGAAGTTTTAACAAGAGTCCTTCTCCCCTCCAGTCCATATTGTGACACACTTCCAGCTTCCCTGAGTTGGGTGAAAGATGAGGGGTGGCCTTCCCTGCGAAGGCACCCTCTATTTCAGTGGTTCCCAACTTGGGACCCTGCGGACCCCAAGAGGAATCACTCATCCCAGCCAGGGAAAAACATGTAGCAAAAGTTCAGAGCTGGACTAGTGGGCGACAGTGGCCAAAGGCCCTTGGCTTGAGGGTCTTCCGCCCCAGCCTTAGGCCACTTCAAACATTCATGGCTTCCACCAAAGAATCCTGGGAGCTGGAGTTTGAGAATTCTTACAGTGGACCTGTTGCTTTCGCAAAGCCACAATTGCCAGAGTTCCCTGGGAAGAGGGATCGACTGTTAAGCCACTCTGGGAATTGTAGCTCTGTGAGGGGAACGTGGGTCTACTAGCAACCCTCAGCACCCTTAACAAACTACAGCTCCCAGAATCCTTTGGGGGAAGCCGCGACTCATAGCTCTTTAAATGTACAGTCGTACCTCGGGTTGAAGTAGCTTTCGGATGAATATTTTCGGGTTGCGCTCCGCGGCGACCCGGAAGTAACGGAGCGCGTTATTTCCAGGTTTCGCCACATGCACAGATGCTCATAATGACGTCATGCGCATGCACGGAAGTGGTGAATCGCAACCCACGCGGACACGGATTGTGTTCACTTCAGGATGCGAACGGGGCTCCGGAACGGATCCCGTTCGCATCCAGAGGTACCACTGTACGGCGTGGATGCAGCCTTAGAAGAAAGAAGGGGAAGCATTTTGGCAGACATGGTGCAAGGACGCTTCTGCTTTTCGTGGCGGAATGAAGTGGCCGCGCTATTTCTAAATCAAAGCAGAAGGAATGGAGGAAATGATGAAACGGGAGGGTGCTGGTTGTGTGTGAATTCTTTGCAATAAGAGGCCTGTTTGGGATTCAGACAGTCCGTGGTTTGCAACGCTGATCGAACAGTTCTTTGCCGTTGTCACGCCGCGACCTTTCCATGCCTTGCCCTGCGTTCTTGTCGTTTGCTTGCATATCATTGCGCAGTTGATAGGTTTCCAGTGGTTTTGATCTAGTGTCATGCTGGCATCCAAGCTGCTCTGGTTTCTGTTTTTGACTGTGTTTTAGAGATTTTCAACATGTGAACTGTCCAGGGAACATGGTTGATTGGGTGTAGGATGGATGGGAGAGAAGTATGATTCAGCTCACATTTAAAGGCGAATCCACCCACTTAAAGGCAAATCTATGAAATTTGCAGTTTCCAAAATAGTCTAAGAACCAATACGCAGCCATCTTTAGATAAACACACTTTGCTGAATTTTGCACCGCAGTTTTCCAGCCAAGTAATGTGTTTTAAAAAAATACCTATATGTGAGTGAAATGTACATAAAAATGCATATTCTTCTTCTTATTATTATTATACTGTACTGATCCTTCATCAAGGATCAAAGGGTGGTTTACAATATAAGAACACAAATAAACACAACACATATTGAAAATAGCATTCAGAAAGGCATTATATTAGGGGAAACTGCTTTGCAAAAATGTGCATTAATATCTATACATCTATTATCTAACAAACAGCATTAATATCTATACATTGAAGAAATTAATGCCGATGAACTTTCCCAAGGACTTTTTTAAAAATCTCAAACTGATGAAGAAATATGAAGACCTGAATTTATTATTTATTTGTTTGTAAAAACTACTTTTAATTCAACGGCACGTAAGAAATAAGGACAGAATGAGGGGAAATACCATTAAATTTAAACATGCAAACAGAAAAAATACAGATATTGGTTTCTGTATTCGCAATGATTATTCCTATTGCAGCGTGATCACATATACTTTTAAAAACAATTTTCTTTATTTGTTAGTATCAGGATGCTGTCCTCGGGGTCTGATGACATTCACAGTGGCTGGAAACCACGGCATAGGAGAGGGCTCTTGTGTTTGAATCCTGCTTGCTGGTTTCCCACAGGCATCTGCTTGGTCCCTGTGAGAACAGGATGCTGGGCTAGATGGGTCACTGGCCTGATCCTGCAAGCTCTTCTTACGATCTTACTTAGTTACAACTACGCAGGCTTGACCATGACTTTTTGTGATACTTTCCAGGTGTCCATGCGGCAGGGTCTCCACCTCAGATGCTTCCCATGAGCCACACCGCTCCAGCACCCTCCGTTGTCGTCATCTAAGAACGCGGAAAGCCACGAATCGAGGATGGGGGATTCCGCAGCCGAGACAGCGGTCCAAATCCCCGATGTCTGTTGCAAAGACACCCAGACGGAGCTCGCCGAGAGAGTCGCAGCGATCCACGTTGCCGTCGGCCCCGACGCCACCGACCAAAACGGCCAAGGAACCATCGCAGGGAATGACGTTGGGTTCTCCAAGATGGCTGCCAACAACCAAAGGAACGGGGTTGATGTTGATTCGGGAACATCCGAAGAACTAGATGGTGCTCACGAGTTGCTGGCCCCAAAGAGGGCTCCAGCAAGACCCATCCTCTCTGGCCGGAAGTACTCCCTTCAGGAAAAGCCCGCAGGGAACTATTTGGCTTCTTCAGATGCTGCAGGCTTCGGTCCATACGCCACGGGCCCTTCCACTCACATCTCTCCACGGATAGTGCGGCGGCCGACGATAGAGTCCCACCGAGTCTCCATTTCAGATGCTGCGGTGGGTAGGCTCTCCCTTTTGGATGGATGGGGTGTGCTGTCAACAAAGGGCGGTTGAAAAATACTTTTTGGGTGAACTGATAAATGAAATTCACACAGCCGGCTCTGCCATTAGACAGAGTGAGGCAAACTCCTCTGGCAGCCATTTTGGGGGTCTGTGAAAAGGAAGCAAACAGATAGTTATTTAATGTATTGTTATTAATGCTGCTGCTGCTGCTGTTGTTACTACTGCAGTTTTACAGTCAGGGGGTGAGAGAAGCAATTGTGGGAATATCTATCTGAAGCGCTGACATAACTTGACTAACTTTGGTTTGGGATGCGGGAGGAATTGGTTTGTGTTGAAAGGGAAACCTACTTAATTCGCCCCTTTCTGAAGCAATATGTGAACTGAGACACAGCCATCCTTTGAAATTTGCACTTCTTTGAATTTTGAAATGAAATGCATTATATTAAGGGAAACTGCCTTGCAGAAATGTGTACATTAGGTAAAACACTGCGTATTTATTAGCGTTAAATGGTGGATTGCATTATCTTCACTCCTTGGTCCTAAGTCCTGCCTTCCAGAGCAACAGTATCCAATAATAGAATAATTTGGTGTCATCTGCAGATTTGATGAGCATCCCCTCAATTCCTTCATCCAGGTCATTTATAAAGACGTTGAACAACAACGGGCCCTGGACAGAACCCTGCGGTACCCCACTTGTCACTTTTTTCCAGGATAAAGAGGAACGATTAATGAGTACTTTTTGGGTTCAGTCAGTCAACCAGCTACAAATCCACCTAACAGTTACCTCATTCAACCCACATTTTACCAGCTTCCTTGCAAGAACATCATGGGGGACTTTGTCAAAGCCTTACTGAAATCAAGATACACTATGTCCACAGCATTTCCCTGATCCACCAAGTTTGTAATTCCATCAAAAAAAAGAAATCAGATTGGTCTGGCATGACTAATTTTTGAGAAACCCATGCTGGGTCTTCGTAATCACAGCATCCTTTTCTAAATGCTCACAGACCAACTGTTGAATTATCTGCTTAAGGACCTTCCCTGGTATCGATGTCAAGCTCTGTAGTTATCTGGGTCTTCCTTTCCCCCCTTTTTGAAGATGAGGACAACATTTGCTCGGCTCCATCTTCTACATGGCAGCTCTTCAGATATTTGAAGACCACTATCATGTCTCCCTTAATCTTTCCACCTACCAGCCAAACTTCAGGCCTGGAGATCAAATGTGGCCCTCCAGGCCTCTCTGTCAGGCCCTTGAGACCCACTCCAAGCCGCACCCCTCACCATCCCATCTCTCACACCCTCCTTGAGTGTTCTGCCCTGGCTGGGATGTGTCTTCCAACTCTAACTATGCCTCTTGCTTGTCTGGTGGGAGGCTAGAGAGGAGTGGGTGGGCATAGGTCAGGCATAGGCAAACTCAGCCCTCCAGATATTTTGGGACTACAACTCCCATCATCCCTAGCTAACAGGCCCAGTGGTCAGGGATGATGGGAGTTGTAGTCCCAAAACATCTGGAGGGCCGAGTTTGCTTATGCCTGGCTTAGGAACTAGCCTGCTGTACAGAGCTAATATTTGCATTCCTTGCTCCACCTCCTTTTGCCTCTGGCCCCACCCACCCCACGCGACCCGCAGAAGGTTACCCAGACAGGAATGTGGCTCTCAGCAGGTGGACAAAATTTACCCCACCCTGCATCTGAACGTAAGATGCACCAGGCTTCAGGTCTCCCCCCAACTCGACTCGGCAGCAGGAACGTATTTTTACACGTCAAGTTTTTTCTGCTTTAAAGTTGCCATGCTGTTGGCTCCGTGTGTACCTTTGGCGCCTGTCTTTGGGGAATTCTAGCAGCGGCTGGCTCATGATTATTTTATTAGCTGACGTGTGCCACATTTCCCAGCACGGCGCACACAAGAGCAGAATATGGGCACAGTTTGAAATTTTAATGCGGGCAAATGGTGGCAGGTGCCTGATTGTTGGCAGCTGTGCTAGGAAAAGCAATAGATAGATAGATAGATAGATAGATAGATAGATAGATAGATAGATCGGCCAAAGTGACCTTCCTTGTGAGGGTGTTGGAGCCCCAGAGTACCAGCAGAAGGTCTCACAACACTGTTTTATTGCAGCATCAGCTTTTGAGGAGCAGAGGCCTCTCCATGTGATGCGTAGACAGACATATTTGTACAGTGCTGCAGCAGCAGGAAAGCATTTTTTAATATATATAAAGAAATGTACAAACAGTGGGGCCAAAAGGTCATGAAATCCGGTGGGATTTGTTGTAGTTCAGTTGCATTTCTACACGGAGTGCAAATACACACAAGATAAGAATAGATCGACCCATTCAAAATGACAGCTGCTGCAAATAAAGCTGTCTGTCGGGCTGCGCTGTGCAAAGTTGACATCGGAAATGGGGAAGAAACCCAGCAGCCAGGAATAAGCTGTGCCAGGTCATCACTGTGTCCTCACTGCCTCCTGTGGGAGTGAGTTCCATAGGTTAACAATGCACTGTGAGAAGAAGGTCATCCTTTTATCTGTCTGGAATCTTTCAACATTCAATGGATGACCTGGAGTTCTAGTGTTACTGGAGCGGAATAAGAACCACGTTCTCCATGTCGTACATACTTTTAAAACGTTCTATCATTTCGCCACGTCTTTTCTCCAAAAAACTCCCAAATTCTGCAGTCTTTCCTAGTAGGTGAGTCACTGCATTCCTTTGGTCATTTTGATGGCTCTTTTCTGAACCTTTTCCAACCCCTTTTTGGGGCGAGGTGACCAGAACGGCACAAAGTATTCCAATTGCCTCCTCCCCTTCCACCGTCTTTCCTGTTTAGACACATTTTCGATAGGCAAGTTGTTCAGCGTGGCGTGGCATTTGCCCCACCCCAAGACGTCTTTCTCCCTGAGCCCCTTTCTGGTGACATTCAGATACATTGGAATACTTTCCGAAGCGACACCTTTCCCCTAGTGCAGGCTGCTTGGGGGTCATCCATCACTGTCAGAGGCAGCGTTATCCCTCACACTGTGGTTGCGAGTCATTACGCAAGTTACAGCCCTGGTAAAAACGAAGATGAAATCAATCACAGCTGTTTTGTTGGCTTATTCCCATTGGTGAAGATCCATGATGGATTGGTGACTGCCTGCTGTCCTACACAACTGAGGCTGCACTCATGTCAACAGAGAAGGATTGCATCCTTAGACAGCAATGCATTTTAAGACCTTAGGCCTCGGGTTCAAATGCAGCCCTCCTACCCTCTTGTACCAGATGTCTGCGCCTCCATGGACAGCTGTGAGTCCAAAATGACTCCCAGGCTGTGCACCTGGTCCTTCAGGGGCACAGTTACCCCATTCAGGACCACGGAGTCCTTTACACCTGCCCGCCTCCTGTCCCCCCAAAACAGTACTTCTGTCTTGTCAGGATTCAACCTCAATCTGTTAGCCGCCATCCATCCTCCAACCGCCTCCAGACACTCACACAGGATCCAGGGCTGAGTTGTTAGAAAAATGGCCTTCTGTATTTACTCCTTAGTTGCCATGGGAACCAGGCCTTCACACCCTTCTTGAGTGTTTTTGTTTGGCTGGAATATGACCTTCAGCCCTGATGATGCGTCTTGCTTATCTTGATGGAAGATAGAGAGGGTCGTGTGATTATAAAAACTAGGCCAGTGTAGAAAGGTAAAAGTCCCATTCACTGCTCCACTCACTTTTGAATCTGGCTCCTCCCACCACTAGAATGTGGCCCCTGGAAGGTAGCCTTGAACAGAAATATGGCCCTCAGACTGGAAAAGTTTCCCCACTCGTGTTTTAAGGGGAGGATTGAATATATTTTCAGTGGACCAAAAGCTGAACGACCAGCTGTATCATGTTCTGTTTTATTCAGTTTACAAGCTGCTTGCTTAAGATAAAACTATACTCTAGGTGACACAGACAAAATTAAAACATTGCACATTGAATTGTGCAATAAAATTCAATAAGAAACATAAATCAATTAAAAAAAAACCCTCCCTGGCAATAAAATCCAGCCATAAAATCCAGCATAGATAGATGCCGATTAAAGCCGCAGTTAAGAATCCAAGAAAACTCAGCTCAGCTGGAAAAACTAAAAAGAAGAAGAATCATTTGTCATCGACCTGCGGAGATGAAATTAAAAGAGCAATGATGTTTTTAAAGATAGAGAGGTGTTAAAAGGCTTGGGAGCACAATAAAAGGCCTTTGGCTGGGAAGGAAATGAAAAGGGACTCTCTCAGGATAGCATTTCACAGTGAGGGGCTTTGCAGAAAGGCCCTCTTCATCTTAACAGGCCTCAGTATTTCATTGTGTGGGGCACTTGGAGAAAAAACAAACTTAAAACATCCCAGGAAAAAGGCCATAGGTAAAAGACCTGATAAAAAAAGGAATATTTTTGCCTGGCACCTAAAGCTATGAAACGATGACGCCAGGCGAGCTGCGCTGGGGAGAGCGTTCCACAAGCGAGGAGCCACCACTGAAAAGGCCCTGTTCTTGTGTTGCCACCCTCCAAACGTCCCATGGAGGGGGGCACACAAAGAAGGGCCTCAGGTGATGATCGCAGGGCCTGGGTCAGTTCATACAGAGAGATGAAGTTCTTGAGGAGTGGGAACCCTGAGCCGCATAAACCTTTATGGGTCAGAACCAGCATTTTGAATTGGGCCCGGAAACCGATTGGTAGCCAGAGCAGTTGGGCCAGGACTGGTATTACACACTCAGAGGATTTTGCCCTGGTAAGCAACCTGGCTGCCGAATTCTGCACCGGCTGCAGTTTACAAAAAAGAAAACCATTACTTCGATCATAGCATATTACTACAAATAAACGAACTACCAATAAACCCCAACCATGGAGGCAGAGCATAGCGTGACTTGTTGCCGTCAACAGTCCTATCCTCCGTGAATTTGTCCAATCCTCTTTTAAAGCAATCCAAGTTGGTGACCACCCCCTGTCTCAAGTGGGAGGGAGTTCCATAGTTTAGATACGCACCGTGTGGCAAACACGGCCCTAGTAAGTGTGTTTAGGGTTTCCGCCTTCATCAGTGAGTCCATTGATCAGCTAAAATGCACCTGATGAATAGACCCAGATTATTTTGCCTCACGTATCCTCCGCTAACAAATCCCAACCCAGACTTAGATGGCTTGGTGTGTTATGCTGACTACAGCGTCTGGCAGAGGGCAGACTTTTCGTACAAAAATTGGCCGGAGGCGGCAGAAAACCTTCAGAGCGAGCTGCCTTCGGAGCCCGATCGCGTTTGACAGCCTCTCTGCATGGCAGCGCCTCCTCCCTTTTGAAACGGAAAGACTCGCTTCATGCATTCAGCTGAGGGAAGCGGACCTAGCAGCTCACTCAGACGTGTGACTGAGGAGAAGTGACAGGCAGAGGGAACCTGGCTTGCCTCTGAGGGTGTACTTTTCCTGTCTGTGGATCACAAATACTAAGGGGGTATTCTTCCTCATCGCCTCACAATGAAGCTGGATTGCGGTGCTCAGATGCCATTATTAGCTTTCGCTGTTGTCGCTGAATTTGGGGCGAGGGAGGAATTCGGTTCAATTTGCATCGAAAGGCAAATCTTACCTAATTCACAGTATCCAAAACAGCTCGCAAATTGAAACACAGCCATCCCTTGACGTTTGAAAGTATCCAAATTTCTGAAACGCAGTTTCTTACCAACCAAGGTAATTGTGTGCCAAAATGCATCTGTTGAGACGTGCATTAAAATGCATATGTTAGCGAAAAGGACATACAGAAGTGCATTGTATTACGGGAAACGTAACTTGCAGGGGAAATGCGCTCTGCGGAATCAGGGATATTGAGCAAAAGCACATCCGGGAATGTTTGCATTAGAAATTCTCACAAAAATGCTGATGGGTTTTCGTGATTACTTAAAAAAAAAAAAGTCAGCTGATGTGGATGTGAGGAGAGCTAACTGGAAAAATGAGAAACTGACCAATTTGCCCATCTCAGCCTCTAAATGCAATCCTTTTGAACTAGCTACCCTAACTGAATCTCTATTTCTACCCCTCTAGGATTGTGTGCAGCTGAACCAATATAAGTTGAAAAGCGAAATAGGCAAGGTATGTGACCACAACTTTTCCTCAACTACTTCATCAGAAGTAGATTTTTGGGGTTCTGTGCAATTTTATTCTGTATATGTCTATTCAAAAACCTGTTGATTGTTATGTATATTTTGGTAATTTTATTATGCCTACTGTTTTTAAATATCTGTTTTTAATCGCTGCTTCTAATGACCGTTTTATACTATTTTATGCTCCAAGTTCCTTCCATGCTATCTTGGAACTGTAGGTAGAATGCAAAATCCTGATGACAACTCCTTTCATCCTTCCTTCCAGCTGAAGATATATGAGCAATTATACTTCCAAGTCCTCTTAGCGTTATTCAGTTCATACGTAAATAATAAAGGATGGTTTCCATCGTAAACCTTTTGCAAAATAGAGCTTCCCTCCTTTCCCCCCTTTTTGACACACACAGTTCCATTTGATGTTATACTCCATATTTATAATCCAATTTCTTCCATCCTCGCTTGTACAAATATAATTTGAACTAGCATTCAGAGGAGGGTTGCTGAAACATAAATGTAGAGAAGAAAACTTTAAATAAAGAAACTGTAGGCTCCCCTCCCCCCTCCGTCTTTTCCACCGAATGAAGTCTTATCTCAAGTTCAAACCGTAATGTCCTTGCAGTTGGTTTTTTCCACAGTTAGTGATCTCATCTCTTCTAGCACGCATCTGTAATTTAGTCCAATTAAGCTCTAATTAACAGGAGAACCTCTGCTTCTTAATGGCAGCATTGGAGGGTTTTCGGCCGGTGAAGTGCTTTTGCACTCAGCGCCTCCTTGCCCCCCCCCCATTCCATGCTGGAGCAAGAGCCAGGTTTGAGACAAACTGCTAGTGAAGTGAAGTGAAGCCTGTGTCCCCCCCCCCCCGTCCCTGGGGGGAATTTGCAAGGATAATTACCCTCGATCATCCTTGTTTTTCCTTCGCCAATGATCTCCTGATGTCGTGAGGGCTGCCTCCATTAAGGCAGAGCGGAACCAGAAGCCAACGTGGCATTTGATTGTGAGTTTTTGAGCCGCTGCTGATGTCTTGGAGCCCTGCCGTAATGCCGGCTCACTCTTAACAAATCTGATGGGGCTCAATGTGCCGAACAAGTGAGGTTGCAGGAATAAGGGGAAGGTGCTGTTGTTGACTGCACCGATCCAAGCCTCTTCCCGCTACAGGCAGCAGGTAAGCGGAGGAACGGCTGGTGTTCTTCTCCTGCCTGCCTTCGGGAATCCTGTGCCAGCCTCCTGCTACAGAGATAATGACTGTGTATATCGAAATTTGCACATGGCAGAGTTCCCAGCACTGCAGCACCTGGGCTCCACGTGACGAGAATCAGAGATGTCCCCTTCCTCTGCCCTTCATGGAAAAGAACCTAAAGTCTGCGCTCCAACACATAAGTGTCCCTGGGAGGCAGCCCAACAGATAAGCATGTTCTGCAGGAACATGAGAACAGCCAGCCCTCATGCTGCCTTGCCAAAACTGGTGCTGGGCTTTTGGAAGGAGGCGCAAGGCCCTGGCAGGGTCCTAGAGCCCTCCCACCTCCTTCCCAAAGATGGGAAAGTGCTAGCTAGGCTTTGGCAAGGAGCGTGGAGGACTCTAGGACCCTTTCGGAGCCCACACACCTCTTTCCCAAAGCCCAGCACCTCCTTACCTGACCTTGGGAAGTCAAGGGGTGGGAAGTCTTGAAATGTTGCTGGAAAAAGGCATGTAGCCCTCAGCCCCCCCCCCCCCATGTTGGACCACGCTGGCCTGACAATTGAATTTTGGAAGTCTGTGGGAGGTGGCCCAGGGTGGGGAAGAGGGAATTGGCCAGATAAAAAATAACCCATCTCCCCATTCCACTGACAGAAGTTCTCTGCCTGATCAAAGAGCTTTCCATCCTCATGAATCTCTTTCAACCGATGAAAAGGTTTGCGTAGGTAGATCATCTGCCTTTGAACTCAGTTTAGCTCCTTCCATTTAAGCACCTTAATTTACATTTTTTTGGCATATCAAGAGAGGGGGGGAAAGAAACTAAAATCTTCTGGGCATTTGTAGACGGGTCATTGCAGGAGCCCTGCCGGATCAGAGGATTGCTTGGTCCGACATCCTGTTTGTGACTGTTGTCACCATCTGCAGCGATCATGGAGCCCAGGAAAGTAAAATCTCTCACTGCCTCCATTTCTTCACCTCCTGGCAAATGGAAGGGGAAGAAATGGAAGCAGTGAGAGATTTTACTTTCTTCGGCTCCATTATCACTGCAGATGGTGACAGCAGCCACAAAATTAAAAGATGCCTGCTTCTTGGGAGGAAAGCAATGACAAACCTAGACAGCATCTTAAAAAGCAGAGACATCACCTTGCCAACAAAGGCCCGTATAGTTAAAGCTATGGTTTTCCCAGTAGTGATGTATGGAAGTGAGAGCTGGACCATAAAGAAGGCTGATTGCCGAAGAATTGATGCTTGTGAATTATGGTGCTGGAGGAGACTCTTGAGAGTCCCATAGACTGCAAGAAGATCAAACCTATCCATTCTGAAGGAAAACAGCCCTGAGTGCTCACTGGAAGGACAGATCATGAAGCTGAGGCTCCAATATTTTGGCCACCTCATGAGAAGAGAAGACTCCCTGGAAAAGACCCTGATGTTCGGAAAGATGGAGGGCACAAGGAGAAGGGGACGACAGAGGACGAGATGGTTGGACAGTGTTCTCAAAGCTACCAGCATGAGTTTGACCAAACTGCGGGAGGCAGTGGAAGACAGGAGTGCCTGGTGTGCTCTGGTCCATGGGGTCACGAAGAGTCGGACACGACTAAACGACTAAACAACAACAATTTACATTTTTTTGGCATATCAAGAGAGAAGTTGTTTTTTTTAAAAAAGAAACTAAAATCTTCTGGGCATTTGTAGACGGGGCATCACAGGAGCCCTGCCGGATCGGATCAAAGGACCGCTTGTCCAACATCCTGTTTCCAACAGGAAGTGGTCAGATGGCAGGACAGAAGCAGGGAAAGGGGCATGGCTCAGTGGCAGGACACCTGCTTCGCATGCAGAAGGCCCCGGGTTTGTTCTGCAGCATCTCCAGGTAGGGCTGAGAGAGACACCTGAGCCTGAAACCCTGGAGAGCTGCTGCCGGTCAGTGTATGCAGTGCTGAGCTAGGAGGAGGACCAGCGGTCTTGACTCAGTTTATAAGGCAGACTTGGGTTGGGGAACAGCATCCGGCCAGCGGGCTGCATCCTTACTCCCCTAACCTGATGACAGGTGGGCAAGACACCTGTCTGCAACCTGATGTCACAATGATGTCAGGTGACTGAGACCTGTCAAAGTCCAAGGGAAGTAACTGACAACTGCCAATCAGCAGTTACAGCAGCCACCTTTGAAGATGTGCTTTCGGCGCCATTCAGCACTGGGAGTTGCACCTTCAAAGGGACTCTCTATAGCCGCCGACCAGCTGATTAATGTTTAGTGGAAGCCCTTTTGAAGTACTCAAAACGAAACATATTTCCCCCTGCAGAGAAGGAGGTTTGTATTCAGAGCATTTAGAAAGGGAGCTTTTCTTTCTTTTTTTCATTTCCAAGTAAGCAGCATTTTTAGTGCAAACTCTTTCCCCCAGAACGAAAATATGCTCCATTTTTTCAAGGCGGCATTTTTCTTGTTTTGTTTTCCCCCCGCTGCTGGGAAAGCAGCTTGGATTTAAAGCACTGCAGGAAGCGTTTGAATCCAAACTGCATCCTCCAACCATTTGTTCATACTTCCAGAACTTACACGTGGACCCTCTGTGCTTCAAAACCCCACTCTTCTCTTAATTTTTGGGGTGCAGCTCGCCCAATGAAAAGCGTGCAAAGCAACATGAGAAAAATGCGTTTTGGGGAAACAGCTTACAGAAAATAGATACGTTAGGCAAAAAGGTGTAAAGAACTGTGTATTAATGCATGAAAGGTGCATACAGATCTGCAAGAGGTTGCAAGAGTTCTCATGTCATCCTCCCATTGATCAAAGGAAGCCACATTTTTGTCCTTCCAGTGTATTAATCTTTTTGCAGGCCCAGAGAATCCATTTACGTTGTCCATTTGTCAAGCCCCATATATTAGGTATAAGAGGATGTTCTGGAATTTGCAACTCTTCCCTCACAGTAGTTTTCATACATCCTGGTATTTCTTTCCAAAAATTTTTGCTAACGTCGAACATACGTTTCAACGAGCCATTCTCTAGTCTGAACTGACATTGTCTGTGCATTTATTTCTTAGGGCTCCTATGGCGTCGTGAAGCTGGCCTACAACGAAAGTGACGACCAATATTATGTAAGTTCCTCCCCTGCTCCCTGCCGTTCCCTATGCAAGTGGCTGGATATTAGCTCCAATAAATTTTGACCTCTCAGGAGAGCCTATTTTCACTCATCCCTTGTTTGTTTGTTGCATTTATATTATCTCACCTTTTCCTCCAAGGAGCTCAAGTTGGCGTACATGGCTCTCCGCCTTCTCATTTACCCCCCCTCCCCACAACAACCCTGCGAAGTAGGTTAGGCCAAGAGGCAGTGACTGGCCCACAATCAGTGAGCTTCATTTTTGGGTGAGGGATTTGAACTCAGGTCTCTCCCAGGTCTTAGTCCAACACTCTGACTACTGCACTGCCACAGGCTGTTGCCTGTCTGTGTTTGGTTGAGTTCACTTGCCTTGAGAATGGGCTCTCCATTCCACCACAAAAGAACCCACTTTGTCCGGGAACAGAGCCTCTTGGGTGGGCTTCATCCTACAGACGGAGGAGGCCAGCTCAGATTGCAGGAATTCTCCCCAATAATTCTGGGAGCTGGAGTCTCTTAAGGGTGCTGAGGGTTTGTAAGGAGATCCCTATTCCCGCCCCCTCGCCCTCTGAGTTGCAGTTGGAGGCAGCAATGCTTCTGAATACCAATTGCTGAAAGCCACAAGATGGGAGAGTCGCTCTTGTGCCCGAATCCTGCTTGCTGGTTTCCCACAGGCTCACCACTGTGAGAGCAGGAGACTGGTCTAGATGGGCCCTGGGCCTGATCCAGCAGGCTCTTCTTATGTTCTTTAATCCCAGAGTACAGTGGTACCTCAGGTTACAGACGCTTCGGGTTGCAGGCACTTCAGGTTACAGACTCCGCTAACCCGGAAGTTGTACCTCAGGTTAAGAACTTTGCTTCAGGATGAGAACAGAAATTGCTCGGTGGCGGCAGCGGGAGGCCCCATTAGCTAAAGTGGTGCTTTAGGTTAAGAACAGTTTCATGTGAAGAACAGACCTCCAGAACGAATTAAGTCCTTAACCCGAGGTACCACTGTAGTGCAACAAACCAATCCCTCTTCCCAGGGAACTCTGGGAATTGTAGTTTTGGGAGGGGAATAAGGGCCTCTTAACAACTCAGCACCCTTAACCGACTCCAGCTCCCAGAATTCTTTGGGGGAAGCCATGACTGTTTAGAGGGGGTATCACTCGGGATGACATGAATGTGGCCTAAGTCGAAAAAAGGAAGTTGGACGAACCCTGCACAGATCGCGGACAGCACCACTCCTCATTCAAACATATTGGAAGGTGTTTCTGTTGGCCGGCTCACCAAGTAAACCTCCGCATTCACAGAGCCATCCAGATTCCCTGAGGCCACTGAGGAAGAAAGCAAAAGAAAACGGCACCTGGGAGGGAGGGGGGAACCCATAAGAGAAACTGCTCCAAATTGCATAATGAGCTAATGGCCAGTTAGCTCCCCGGCATGCTATTTGATTGACAGGCGGCTTTTCATACCACAAGAGATTACATGTTCCATGTATCTCCGCTTTGCAGAACAACGTTCACACTGATAGCGCTTTGACGAGAGCTGTCAAGTGGGCAATGGAAATATTTCACGCAAAGGCAATGCACCACCAATTACCTGGGACCCTTTTAAAATTCTGACAATTGGAAACAATTCAGATGCTCTCTTTCTGTCTCACTCGCACAAACACACACACAAGCAATATGCTGAATTTTTTCACCGTCGCCTATCCATTTCCTTTCCCCCCCTTCAAGGTGGTTACAGCAGGGAAGAGGGAGCGTTGCTCTGGCGCCTTCTGCCTTTCGATCTTACCTTTAAAGCATATGTCCAGATTTTAAGGCTGAGATTACTGTGGTGACAGCGTCAGGCTACTAGGACCTGGAAAACACCAGGGTTCAAATCCCTTCTCAGCCATGCAGCTCACTGGGTGACTGTTCACAGACTTTCTTGGCCTAACACACTACACAGGTTTGTTGTGAGGATAGGAAAGGGGAGGAAGAGGACCACGTAAACCCCCTTTGAGCTCTCTGGAGGAAAAGTGGGGTCCGAATGAAATAAATAGATAAATTGGAATTGCATATATCAGGCTAGATTGCTTGCAAAAGAAGTATGTTAAGAGGAGCATGCATGAATGTGTGTGCAAACATTCATACGGATAGCTCAGTTGGTAAGAGCACGAGACTTTTAATCTCGGGGTCAAGGGTTCGAGATCCACCTTGGGCAAAAAAGCTCCTGCATTGCAGCGGGTTGGAGTAGATGACCCTTGTGGTCTCTTCCAGCTCTACAGTTCTGTGATTCTATAGCTTCATTGTTTTTCAAATGTAAACTGAGTGGAAGGAGAAGAGAACTCGAGAGACCACAACTGGCAGATTTGTCGCTCCTTCCTCTTGTGGTTTACCCTCCTATAGTCCCCAGGAAGCTGACCACAATTAAAACACAGTATTGACAAACAGTTTAAAACAAACTAAGAAACAGAATGGGTCCTACTTACTGCTCCAAATTACTACTTACTTGACTTTAATACATGTCTCCTCCCCACCCCTTCTGTTTCACTACAGGCCATGAAAGTCCTCTCCAAAAAGAAGCTGTTGAAACAGTATGGATTTCCACGTAAGTATCTGTGCCTTTTTACGGCTTAGGGAGCTTATCTGAAGGTAGGGCAGGCACACACTTCCGCCTAGGCAAACAAGGGGCATTCTGGGAGTTCAAGGACATATTCCAGCCAGGCAAAAACTCTCAAGGAAGGTGCAAAACTGGGCCAGTATGGGACGATACTTAGTTTGTGAGGACAACAACTTTATGAGCATGCAAAGAGACAAGGAAAACTACTCCTAACTAAAGTGTGAACTGGTGTGTCTTCTTCCTTTGGGTAAAGGTCGGCCTCCGCCTCGAGGGTCGAAAGCTGCTGCCGGGGGACAGGCAAAGCCCATGGCGCCCCTTGAGCGGATCTATCAGGAAATAGCCATCTTAAAGAAACTGGACCATATCAACGTTGTCAAGCTGATTGAGGTTTGTTTGTTTGTGTTGTGTGTCTGAAGGTAAAGGGACCCCTGACCGTTAGGTCCAACCGCCACCGACTCTGGGGTTGCACCGCTCATCTTGCTTTATTGGCTGAGGGAGCCAGTGTTTGTCTGCAGACAGTTTTTCTGGGTCATGTGGCCAGCATGACTAAGCTGCTTCTGGTGAACCAGAGCAGCGCATGGAAACACCGTTTACCTTCCCGCCAGAGTGGTACCTATTTATCTACTTGCACTCTGACGTGCTTTCGAACTGCTAGGTTGGCAGGAGCAGGGACCGAGCAACGGGAGCTCACCCCGTCACGGGGATTCGAACCGCTGACCTTCTGATCGGCAAGCCCTAGGCTCTGTGGTTTAGACCACAGCGCCACCCACATCCCTGACCTTGAAGCATCCCTGCAAATGGTGCATGCAGGATCATGTAACAGGGGCTGTATGCGTCCTCTTGGGCAGGCTTTTTACTTGTAAGGAAGCTAAAGAACATAAAGAAAATAGTTTCAAAACTCAACTCCCTTTCGTTAAAACTGTCCCGGAGATCAGATGCATTTTACATCCTGTTGCTGCTTTCAGATCACAATGCACCGTTCTCTCTCTCCAATGTGGCCAAGTTCTGAGTAAACTCTCCAGAAACCAACCCCAGACATTTCGCAATTTCCCCCTCTTTGGGAAAGACTGCAATGTTTATAATGTTGTTCCCTGGTCCCACAGACAAACAAGAGTTAAAAACCCATCTTTTCCATATAGTCTTGCTAGTCTCCATACGCCATTGCAACTAATGCCACATTCACACCATAGATTTAAAGTGCTACGGCAAGTTCAGCAGTCACGGCTTCCCCCAAAGAGTTCTGGGAGTTGTGGTTTGTTAAGGGTGCTGATAACTGTAAGGTGGCCTCTGTTCCTCTCACAGAACTGGAATTCCCAGGGTGGTTTAACAATCAACCCTTCTTCATAGGGAATTGTAGCTCTGGGAGGTGGGATAAGGTAAAGGTAAAGGGACCCCTGACCATTAGGTCCAGTTGCGGCCAACTCTGGGATTGCGGCGCTCATCTCGCTTTACTGGCCAAGGGAGCCGGCGTACAGCTTCCGGGTCATGTGGCCAGCATGACTAAGCCGTTTCTGGCGAACCAGAGCAGTGCACGGAAGCGCCGTTTACCTTCCCGCTGGAGCGGTACCTATTTATCTACTTGCACTTTGAGGTGCTTTTGAACTGCTAGGTTGGCAGGAGCAGGGACCGAGCAACGGGAGCTCACCCCATCGCGGGGATTCAAACCACCGACCTTCTGATCGGCAAGCCCTAGGCTCTGTGGTTTAACCCACAGCGCCACCCGCACCCTTCACAAATGACAGATCCCAGAATTCTTTGGGGGAAGCAATGACTGTTTTAAATGGCATCGTAGTGCTTTAAATCTATGGTGTGAATGTGGCCTCTTTAAGTTCTTGCACTCTAAAGTCTATATCCATCTAAATTCTACTGGGAGTAAACCCACTGAAATTAATGGAGCTTACTTGGTCATGGCCATTAATTTCAGTGGGTCTGCTCATGAGTAAAACCAACGGTGGAGACACCCCAAAATGTTTGCCTCCATTGTCCCTTGTGTCAGGTTTGAGATGGCAACACCCACAGGGCAGAAACTTGCCCCTTCCTACTCTCCTGTAGCACTATCCCTCAGCCCTCTTTTACCAACAATCTCAGCACCTTCATTCAGGTTACAGTTCCCAGGCTTCTTGCGAGGGGATCCAGCATAAAACCGATCCGCGTTTTGTGCTGTAGAATGCTATCCTCATCTTTCTGTCATTCATAAGCTCCTTCCCTCGGCCTGTGATCTGTGGAGGCCCAAAGGTTTGAATAAATCTCTTTCCTTCCAGGTACTAGATGACCCCGCAGAAGACAACCTGTACATGGGTAGGCATTTCCATCTTTTAGAAAAACGTAGTTGATCGGCACCGGTTATTTGTGAGCAAACCGTTGTGTGGGGGGGAAATGCAGACGAGCTGTGTGATCAAGTGGGGCAAATGGGTTTCATGCGGAGCAGCTGCAAGTGGGACCTGCAACAAAAGTGCGGTTACCCCTGTTTAGTGTTTCAGCCAGCCAGCCACGACTCCCTTCAGGTTGCTCCATTCCATTCCTCTCCTCACATTTTCTGATCCCTCCCACAACAGATAATCGGCATACTTTGTGCTTCATTTTCATTCTTCTGGTGGGTTTTATTGGTTTCTTGAAGAGGGGGGCTTAACTCCTTGAGAGGTTGCCGTGTCCCCAGCCCAAGAGCAAGCTGAAGGTCCACCTGTCAGGAATTATTTAGCTGTGATTCCTGCATTTGTAGAGGGTTGGACTGGACAATCCTTGAGGTCACGCCCATTCTGTGATTCCCTTGGAGCAGTTTCTAGAAGTGGGGCCTGCACAGAATATTATTTCATAGAGCTCTCCGGTTCAGGGTCCGACTCAGCTACCCACGTCCATTTCCAGGATACTCCATTCCAGTCCCCCATGCCCATAACAGCTGGCCGGTGTTCCATGCCCACTGAGCATGCACCTGTATGGAGAACAGGTGGCATAAATTCAGCCACAGCACAATCCCTTGAATTCTTATAGGACTTTGTTCAACATAAGCGTGTGTATAACCTTGCAGCCTCAGTAAGTTAAAAGGCAGGTGGTTAATCAAGCTCGTCCTTTATTTATTTTTCTTCCCTTTTCCGTCTCTTCCAGTGTTTGACCTCCTGCGGAAGGGGTAAGTAAGTAGCTTGAACCTGACTGCTAGATAACGACCAAAGGCCTGTCCAAAAGATGTTTTAAGTCAGATGTTTCCTCAGGCTCCAACCAACCTGGTGCCTTCCAGATGTTTTGGACTACAACTCCCATCAGCACCATCATCAGAAGTGCTGGCTGGGTCTGATGGGAGTTGTAGTCCAAAGCTTCTTGGGAGGGTTTCCGGGTTGGCCAAGACTTATTTCAAGTGCTTAAGCAGTCAACAAAGTAATAGCAGTGGCTGAGTCAGGCATAGATCTCCCGTTCCTCATAAAAATGTTAATCGTCACCTGAATTCCTTCATTGAAAATGTAAAGTGTGAAGAACAAGTGTTGGCATGTTAGCATACAAGGATTTATTTATTTTTTCCAATTATTTAATGGTTTGCATCCATTAGTCATTCTCCGAGTCGGCCTATTGAAATGAGTGGGCCTGTATGAATCATATCTACTTTGAGGCTTTTTCTACAATCGAGGTATATACATTTTATGAAATAAATTACATAAATACATCTAAATGGGGTGGTATTCAACTAAGCTTTACTCGGGAGTACACCTATTGAAATTAAGAGGCCCTACTTCTTCATTAATTTCAGTCAATATGCTCTGAGTCAAACTTAGCTGAATACCATCCAGTAGGTCTACTCTTGAGCATAAAATTTTAGCGTCAAGGTTGCTCACTGTGGCAAGACACTCTGAGGATGAAACACCAATCCTGGCCCAACTGCACTGGCTACCAGTTAGTTTCCAGATTCAGATCTAGTTAGTTTCTCAATTCAAAGTGCTGCTGTAAGGACCACCATATGAACCAACCTGGACTCTGTGATCATAACCTGCAGCTCTTCTTTGTGTGCCCCTTTCATGAGATGCCTGGGGGGTGGGCAGCACAAGAAGGGGCCTTTTCAGAGGTGGCTCCCCACTTGTGGACTGCTCTCCCCAGGGAGGCTCACCTAGGGACATCATTACATAGCTTCAGACTCCAGACAAAAAACATTCCTTCTTCATTGGGCCTTTGGTTTCTAACCATCTATGGCCTTTTTACATGGGCAGAATAATAATAATAATAATAATAATAATAATAATAATAATAATAATATACCCCACCCATCTGGCTGTCTGGGCGGCTCCCAACAGAATATTCAAAACACGATAAAACATCAAACATTAAAAACTTCCCTAAACAGGGTTGCCTTCAGATGTCTTCTAAAAGTCAGGTAATGGTTTATTTCCTTGACATCTGATGGGAGGGCGTTCTACAGCTCGGGGGCCATCACCGAGAAGGCCCTCTGCCTGGTTCCTTGTAACCTCACTTCTCACAGGGAGGGAACCGCCAGAAGGCCCTCGGAGCTGGATCCGGGCTGAACAATGGGTATGGAGACACTCCTTCAGGTAGCATAGGTTTAAAAAATAAAATGCTGGTTTTAATGTACTTAGATGTTTGCTTTTTGCTTAAGAAATTGTAACATGCTTGTGAGTTGCAAAAAAGCGACTAATAAATTTAATTAATGGTAGCAGTAGTAATAATAATACGACTGAGACTGGATGGGTTTTTTAAGTATGTGGATTTTATCAGTATTTTATAACACTTAGGGTTTTTCTAAAAGTTGAGCAGTGTATAAATGTAATAGGATTTCCATGGAGAATAGAGGAAGTCAGGTTTGATTTCAGCTCCACACTGAACATGTCCTTCCCAGATTGGTCTTATGTGATGATATGAAAAGGCCTTTTGTGGTTCTCCTTTTTTTACCCCATTTTTAGGCCTGTCATGGAAGTGCCGTGTGACACCCCCTTCACTGAGGAACAGGCCCGACTCTACTTAAGGGACATCGTCTTGGGCATTGAATACTGTGAGTATCAAAATGACACGTTTCCATGGCATTTGGGTGGATGGGCACCCAAGGACAAATTGGGGTAGGCCGAGTTCTGGAGCCTCCAGAAGCATATTTGGAGCTGGCCTAGGGCCTGCTTTCTAGATTGTTCTGGGCCCTTCTGGAAATATTTGAAAGGTTGGCACAGCATAGACCTGGTGGTCTCCAGCTATGTTACATCCACCTTCCGTATCTGCAGGCCCCTGGAACATAGGCACCTGCCGACTCAGACCTTTGATCCATCAACTCAGTATTGCCTACACTGACCGGCAGTGGTTCTCCGGGGTTTCAGACAATAAATGTTCCCAGACCTACAATGCCTTGAAGGTATTTGAAGGTGACTATCAAATCACCTCAGATAAATCTCTTTGAAGGTGCACTCCTGGTTGCCTATCAGCTGAATGGCATTGAAGGAGCATTTTCAGAGTTGGGTGCTGTAACTGCAGATTGGCATGTACAGTGGTACCTCAAGTTACATACGCTTCAGGTTACATACGCTTCAGGTTACAGACTCCACTAACCCAGAAATATTACCTCGGGTTAAGAACTTTGCTTCAGGATGAGAACAGAAATCGTGCAGCGGCAGCGCAACGGCAGCAGGGGGCCCCATTAGCTGGGGTGGTGCTTCAGGTTAAGAACAGTTTCAGGTTAAGAACGGACCTCCGGAACGAATTAAGTACTTAACCCGAGGTACCACTGTACAGTGACCTCCTTTGAACTTTGACAGGTGTCCATTATGACATTGGTTTATTGACAGGTAGGTGGTTCTGCCCGCCTGTCAAGGTTGGCCCATGGAGATGGAGGAGGAAGAAATAAGGTTCTGATCCACCAGCTAGATCCAGTTCCTCAACCCTAATCTGCTTTATATTGGAGTCAGGCCATTTGCCTATCTAGCTCAATATTTCTTACACTGACTGGAAGCAGCTCTTAAGGGTTCATGTGCAGAAGAGCCTCTAAAACAAAAATGCAACTCGTGTGTGTGTGTGTGTGTGTGTGTGTGTGTTTTAAGGCTTATAAAAAGAACTTAAATTCTGTTGCAACACAGGGTTGGTATTATTCCTTCTCAAAGTAGACCCATTAACAGTAATGGACTAACTTGGGCTCATTAATTCCAGTGAGTCTACTCTGAGCAGTTGGATATGATCCTTAGGGTCCCCACCTGTTAGGTTAAGGTTACCAGACGCCCCTGTTTCCTGGGGACAGTCCCCAGATTTACAAATCAGTCCCCTGACAAAATCCACTGAATTCGACTGAAGTTGAAAAGTGTCCTCAGATTCCTTGGGGGGGAAAATCTGGTAACCTTATGTTAGGTACCTTCCAAAAGCCAGGCTGATCTTGCCAGAACTCTTGCCAAAGCTACAGAAAAGGCTTAATGTGTGAATGATTACTCTCCTTTGTCTAGACTCCCTCATTCCTTTTAAAAAAAATTAAATTACCCCCCCCCCTTTGCAAGGCTCAAGCTGTTCTTGTTACAGTGAGGAGCACAGGGTGGAGGGGAAGAATCAATTTCTCAACACACACCTCCGCTCACTGCTTCCTTCCTACAAATCGTAACACCTTTATTGATTGCGTCCTGGAAAGCCCATGGCGGTTAATGTGGAGACGGGCAGCGCAGCACCCTCAAGGGAGGTGTTTTAATCTGCGGTTGAACAAGCTGGTTTAGGAAGAAGAAAGTGTGGTGTGTGTGTGTGTGTGTGTGTGTGTGTGTGTGGACCTCGTACGCTCACTTTCTCTTCGATTCACAAGCTCAGTCCTGCTGCAGTGCTCCCAAACTCCACCAGTGGCGGACAATGTCAGCAGCGCCCTGTGTGCTGCCAAATTTTGGCACACACAGACCCCCTCCTCTCGCCTTCCATTGTTCGTGCTCCCCTATGTCCACCTCTGACTCCATGCCAACCTCGGTGTTAAAGGGAAGCACCCAGATATAAACACCCTCTGGGTTCTTGAGGGCTCCGCCATCGACCCATGTCTGCTTTACTTAACATAGGGGCTCTGCCTAAGTCAGATGTGTCAATTTTCCTTTCTTTCTGTCAGTATAGGGCAGCTTCCGACACTCTAAAGCAGCCCTCTATTCAGAATAATCAGGACTAGAACCTTGCTTTACTTGAAATAAGAGACCATAGTTCAGTGGCAGGGCATCTGTTTTGCATGCTAATAATAATTAATAATAATAATAATAATAATAATAATAATAATAATAATATAATATTATTTATACCCCGCCCATCTAGCTGGGCTTCCCCAGTCACTCTGGGCGGCTTCCCCAAAATATTAAAATACTATAATACATCAAACATTAAAAGCTTCCCTGAACAGGGCTGCCTTCAGATGTCTTCTAAAAGTCTGGTAGTTGTTGCTCTCTTTGACATCCAATGGGAGGGCGTTCCACAGGGCGGGCGCCACTACCGAGAAGGCCCTCTGCCTGGTTCCCTGTAACTTGGCTTCTCACAGTGAGGGAACTGCCAGAAGGCGCTCGGCACTGGACCTCAGTGTCCAGGCAGAACGATGGGGGTGGAGACGCTCCTTCAGGTATACTGGGCTGAGGCCGTTTAGGGCTTTAAAGGTCAGCACCAACACTTTAAATTGTGCTCGGAAACGTACTGGGAACCAGTGTAGGTCTTTCAAGACCAGTGTTATGTGGTCTCGGCGGCCAGTCCCAGTCACCAGTCTAGCAAGACCTACCAGAGATGAGTTGCTATGATCATTAGGCCTGACACTCCTGTGCAGATCCTCTTTCTGGTAACAAAGAGTTAACTCCAACTTGCTCCATGTGATTGACTGCAGGCTCGCTCCTGTCCTATGGCTGGGGAATGTCCCCCTGCCTGAAACCCCAGAGAGCAGCTGCCAAGTCAGTGTTGACAAATACTTGGTCTGACTCAGTGCAAGGCAGTTTTCTATGTTCCTGTGACCTCTCCCCTCTGTCTTCCCTTCCCCTGAGATTCCCCCCATCCTACATCTCTCCCCCCTCACACACCCCGCTGCAGATTTCTTTTGATAGGGTGTTAAATCATTCCTCCCCTCCAGATGCTGTGAAGCGAAGCCGATAGCTAAAAGCGTGTTTCTGTGGCGGCAGCGCCTTATGGAGTGCTCTTTGTCCTTGAACTGCGGCAGGCAACTCTGCTGATCAAATATAATGCGGCAAGCCTCGGCAGACGGCATGATGTGCCATTGTGCTTGAAGTGCATTCGTCCATTCATTCATTCCCCCTCCCTTCCCTCCCTCCCTGAATGGTGGTGGAATCTGTGTGGTTCTCAGGCTGCTGGCTTCCAGGCATGAAGATGCCAGCGCAAGAAAACAGGCTGTGAGGTTTCATTTCAGACATTTGCAGTAGCTTTCTTTCCTCCTTTCATCTATAATCTCAGTCAGCCAAACTTACTCTCTCTGGTTGCATTTGCACGAAACATTTTAAAGCACTGTGGTACTGCGTTAAACCACAGGGCCTAGGACTTGCCAATCAGAAGCTCGGCGGTTCGAATCCCCGCGACGGGGTGAGCGCCCTTTGCTCTGTCCCTGCTCCTGCCAACCTAGCAGTTCGAAAGCACGTCAAAGTGCAAGTAGATAAACAGGTACCGCTCCGGCGGGAAGGTAAACGGCGTTTCCGTGCGCTGCTCTGCTTCGCCAGAAGCGGCTTAGTCATGCCGGCCACATGACCCGGAAGCTGTACGCCGGCTCCCTCAGCCAATAAAGTGAGATGAGCGCTGCAACCCCAGAGTCGTTGGTGACTGGACCTAACGGTCAGGGGTCCCTTTACCTTTACCTTTTACTGCTTTTAATAGTTGTAGTTCCTTCTCTCCCCCCCCCCCCGCCTTGCAAAGAAAAAGCAAATAATTCTGGGAGTTGTAGTTTCTTGAGGGTGCTGGCTGAGAGTTGTTAGGAGACCCCTGTATTCCCCTCACAAAGCTACAATTCTCAGAGGTCCCTGTAAAAAGAATTGATGTGAAAATTGCTCATCTAGGTGTTGCTGAACTAGAATTCCCATCCGTTCCAGCAAGTGTGGTCAGGGATGATGGGAGTTGTAGTCCAGCAAGATCTAGAAGGCCAAAGGTTCCCTACACCAGGAGTAAGAGAAGGTAGATTGAATTATGAGGCTGGTGTGAAAGTGGAGCTTGTTTATAATTTATTCGAATTTCAAAACTGCAAGCCTTGATATTAGTAAAGACACACACACACATATATATTTAAATTGAAAGAAGGGAAAATAGGGAGGGAGAGAGGAAGAATAGGAAGATAGGGCAAAGATGTCCCATAATTTTAATAATGATAATACCCTTCCCATCTGGCTGGGTTTCCCCAGCAACTCTGGGCTGCTTCCAGCAAAATATAAAAAAATAATAAAATGTCAGACATTAAAGAACTTTCCTGAACAGGGCTGCCTTCAGATGTTTTCTGAAGTTATGCAATTATTTATCTCCCTGACATCTGACACGAGGGTGTTCCACAGGGAGGGTGCCACTGCTGAAAAGGCCCTCTAATAAATAGTAGTTGTGCAAGTGGATAGCTCGGTTGGTTAGAGCATGGTGCTGATAATGCCAAGGTTGCAGGTTTGATCCCCGTATGGGACCTCTGCCTATTCCTGCATTTCAGGGGGTTGGACTAGATGATTTTCAGGGTCCCTTCCAACTCTGATTCTAAGTTTTCATGACAATGGGAAGTAGAGTTGTTGTTTTCCCCTCCCCTGGGGAACCTTGACAGAAGCGGCGACAGGAAAGCATCTTATATACCAAGGATGCATCTGAGCAAGGAGCCGAACTCTCCTTCATGCTTCTTCCTGCACGTAATGATTACCTGTCACAACCAACTTGGGAGCCCATTTGTTAGCTGAACGTTTTGCCAAAGCAGCTCTTCGGATCGGCTCCTGCCAGAAGCCGTGATTCATCCTTCACTGGCTCTCTGTTGGCGGGGAAGCTGCCCAGTGTGAGCCCAAATGGAGGCTGGGTCTCAGTCCCCGGCCTTCCCCAAATTTCTTAAGATGTATGTGTTGTAAGGGGAAGAACATGCTAGTGTTGTGCCCTTGGGAAACGCTGCGCGGGGGGTCTCAGGTGGGTGGGTGGAACAACCCTCCTGTCGGTCATCAAAGTCATCCCTCCTGAAGTCAGGACAATTAAAAATGATAGAATTGGAGATCTGGAAGGGACCCCAAGAGCCATCTAGTCCAGCCCCCTGCAATGCAGAACTCACAACTAAACTGACAGATTGCCATCCAACCTCTGCTTGAAAATCTCCAGCAAAGGAGAGTCGCATCACCTTCTGAGGTGGCCCATTCCACTGTCAAATAGCTCTTACTGTCAGAAAGTTCTGCCTAATGTTTAGTCGAAAGCCCATTTCCTGTCATTTGAAAGGGTGCGTGTTTTGCTAGGTCAGGGGTCTGCAACCCGCGGCTCCGGAGCCGCATGTGGCTCTTTTACACCTTTGCTGCGGCTCCGGGGCGGATACTAGCGAGGGGAGGAGGTGCATTGTGCGCCCCGACACTCCCCACTGTGGCGGGCGCTGTACTGGCTGTGACGTCGCATGGGGGCGGTGCGTGCGTTAGTCACGCACCGTCCCAACATCACCTTCCCGCCCGCCCGCTACATTGTAAGGGGCATGTATGCTGGTCACTGCATTGAAAGGGGAGTGAAGAACACACACACAAAAAAGGTAACTTGTTAATTTAACGTTTATTTCTATGAGGAGGAGTAATTCTGAGGGGTCAAACAAAGAAATAATAAAAAAGTGACAAAAAAGTTATTTTTATAATGACGAGTTTTGCGGCTCCCAGTTTTTTTTTCCTTCGGAAACGGGTCCAAGTGGCTCTTTTTGTCTTAAAGGTTGCAGACCCCTGTGCTAGGTTCATGCAGCCAAGAGAACAGCAAGAACCTGTATTTTAAATTGGTTTTTTCCCCCTTTTCTTATTCCCCTATCATGTTTTTTTTTACTGTGATTTTATTGGTGTTAGGGCCGGGGAGGGTGGGGTATAAATAAAATTTATTTTTACTATGATTATTATTATTATTATTATTAAGAAACAGTTGCTAAGTAGGGTCTGGTCCAAGCCTTAGCCCAAGAGGTTGTAGGAATGCAGGCATTTGCAGTGATGGAATTCCTCGAGCATCCGTAAACCAACTGTTTTGACTGATAACATAGCAGGACCCCTTTCGTAATGAATTCATTTATTTGTTTGGCTTAACACACACACACACTCCTGCTCACATAGCCCTGTTGACATTCTCCGTGTGTTGGTTGGCAATTTGCCCTCTTTATCTTGTCCCATTACCCAAACTGGCAGACTGCAAGCTGGGCACTGCAGCAGCGCTGCTGCGGCATTAGAGATGCAGGTCACATCCATGCACCAAAAACTTTTTTTCCCCTTTTGCTGCAAGGGGATGGTTATGCAAAAGAAACTGACCTCAGACTCTGTACACCTAGCATGCCGAGAGGTGCAGAGTCTTTGCCTTGAGGCTGAAATTACCTTGATTTATGGCACAGCTGCCCTTGGAATACATTCATACATACGTAATGTTGTTTCTACGTTGCCTTCCCATAGTTAAAACCATCCTCAAGGCAGCTTATGCAAGAAAGAAATATGTAATTACAAACATAACAAAGGTAGTCATAAACAAGAACTGAAACATCGAAAATTACACAAGCAATTCGAACAATTTCCACATTAAAATAAGATTTAAAATGAAGATGCAAAACATTAATATTAAAAAACAACAATTGAAACAAAACAAAAAACCCCTAAGCAATACCCCAGTACAAGAACTGTACAGAACAGCAGGACCTTCTGCATTCAGTGCAGGTGCTCTAACCACTGAGCTACAGCCCCTCCTCCATCTGGAGAGAAGATCAGATCTCTCTTAGTTATCGGGATCTGTCACTCGCAGAAGGGAGCAGAAAGTCTCTCTCGTGTGTATTGAGTTGTGCACAGCAGCAAAAAATTGCAAACAGAACAACAAAAAAACCAGAGAAAAAGTAAACAAAGAATTAAAAATGCGAACCATAAAATGTCACTGCCTGGAGGGAGAAAAGTGCATCTCCAAAGGGATAATAAAGCTATATAAAACTAAATGGATTATCCACCGTTGAGTTCCATCATGACTGAGAATAAAGGTTCTATAAAAGTTCTCCTCTCTGCCTCTCTTCAGTGCATTACCAGAAGATCATCCACCGGGACATCAAACCTTCCAACTTGCTCTTGGGGGATGACGGGCACGTCAAAATTGCCGACTTCGGAGTGAGCAATCAGTTTGAGGGCAGCGATGCCCAGCTCTCCAGCACTGCTGGGACTCCAGCCTTCATGGCCCCTGAAGCCCTTTCCGAGTCTGGGAAGAGCTTCAGTGGGAAGGTAGGATGCTGCTTATGTGATGTGGACCCCGCTTGGGGAGGGGACCCCAATAAGAGCCCAGTAAGAGCTGAGCTGAGCTCTTACTAGTGGCGCTGTGGCTTAAACCACAGAGCCTAGGGCTTGCCGATCAAAAGGTTGGCGGTTCGAATCCCTGCGACGGGGTGAGCTCCCGTTGCTCGGTCCCAGCTCCTGCCAACCTAGCAGTTCAAAAGCACAAAGTGCAAGTAGATAAATAGGTACCGCTCCGGCGGGAAGGTAAACGGCATTTCCATGCGCTGTTCTGGTTTGCCAGAAGCGGCTTAGTCATGCTGGCCACATGACCCAGAAGCTGTACGCCGGCTCCCTCGGCCAATAAAGCAAGATGAGCGTAGCAACCCCAGAGTCGGTTACGACTGGACCTAATGGTCAGGGGTCCCTTTACTTTTTAAGAGCTGAGCATGCTCATTGGCCACAAAATGCTGACTGGCTGTAACCGGGGTTGGAGCGGAGCAATGGGGAAATGGGGAGGAGGTGGAGTATTCTGAGTGGGGGCGCTTTATACCACAACATTTTGTTGCAACCTCCCCAGAGATCTGATTTTTTAAAAATCTGTTTGCTTCTTTTCAGGCACTAGATGTCTGGGCCATGGGGATCACATTATTTTGCTTTGTGTATGGAAAGGTAAGATGTCTGTAAAAGGGGGACGGGTTTTTGTGGTGGTGGTTGGGGCAGGGCCGGCCCACCCTTGAGGCAAGGTGAGGCAACTGCCTCAGGCAGCTGGATCCGCAGGGGCAGCAGATTACTATCATTTCTTAGAGTCATATGCTGCCCTTCATCACAAGATCTCAGGGTGGTTCACAGAGCAAAAACACAAGGTAAGAACAAAAGTAAATGGTTCAAACGAGAACAACAAAACAGTGCCCACCAAACTCATTTATCAGGCTGCAGAATATTAATCAGCCAGAGGCTGATTAATGGCCTGAAGTAATTTATTTCTGGAGCTGTTGTTGATGATGGTTATTAATTGCCAAATGATTAGATAAAAAAATCCTGAGCAAATTATAAAAAGAACATAAATCTCAGGCAGGCTCATGATGGAGAAGGAAGCCAAGTGTGCAACTGAAAAGCATCTTGTATGAAGATGTTCTGAGAATCTCTCTGCAGGAATCATAGGAGCCAACTCCTAGGGGCCAAGATTCCTTCACACACCCCACCCCAATAAAATACTTGAGGGGGCTGGTCCCCCTCGAAGTTGATGACCATTGCCATTCAAATGGTGTGTGTGTGACACATCTTGTGACCTACCCCACCCCCAATATTTTAATTCAAGTTGGCACCCCTGGCAGGAATGCCCCAGCCTCCTTGCAGAGCTGAGCTCTCAGGGTTCCTTGGGATTGGTTATAGAGTGTTAGTCTGTAAGTGTAAACAAGAGGGCTAAAGCAGAGTATTCACAAAAGCATGCAAACCTTTGCTCTGTTTTGCTCTGTCTTTGCTCTGTTTTGCAGTGTCCTTTCATTGATGAATTTATCCTTGCTCTTCACAACAAGATCAAGAACAAGCCGGTGGATTTCCCGGAAGAGTAAGTAAGCTTTGCAGGTCGCAGTGGAGCACAAGGTTGCTGCAGATGACTGGGAATCCCAAGTGAGGAGAAGGGCTTCTGTTGCCCTCATGTCTTGCTTGCAGACTTCCCATTGGGGCTTCTGGTTCGCCACAGTGAGAACAGGATGCTGGACAAGATGTGTCTTTGGCCTGATGCTCTTTACCCACAAGTTTGCATTCTCACTACCTCTCAGAGAGAGCCAGTGTGGTGTAGTGGTTAAGAGTGGTAGACTCGTAATCTGGTGAACTGGGTTTGCGGCTCTGCTCCTCCACATGCAGCTGCTGGGTGACCTTGGGCTAGTCTCACTTCTTTGGAGACTCTCAGCCTCATTCACCTCACAGAGTGTTTGTTGTGGGGGAAGAGGGAAAAGGAGAATGGTAGCTGCTTTGAGACTTCTTCGGGTAGTGATAAAGTGGGATATCAAATCCAAACTCTTCTTCTTCTTCATTGTGGACCAGAGGAAGTGGTTTTGCTTCACCTCGCAGCAGCATTGAGCACATTTGACTCTGGCATTTTTCTGAGCCCCTGGGAGGAGTGAGATTATGACTCGTTGCTCCGGTCATTGCTGACACTACCAAGTTAGACATTGTTGTCATTTTCCAAGTTAGCCAATGCTAACATTTACCAAGTTAGGCATCACTGACCTTTAGCAAGTTAGATGGTCCCCCCCTAATGAGTGCTGCACCATTTGGTTATCTGTTTTTCTCCTCTTTTCTCCCCTACCAGCCACTCTGTATATGTCCTGCCTGACATGAGAGAAAAGTCTTTCCCTCCCACAGCAAAGGCTACACCCAGCTCCTCCCATTCTGAGTGGGCAGATATAGCATCCTGGCTTAGTGGTTCTCTGGCACTTTCAATAAGGGCCAAGTCACAGGGCCAAGAGGGAAGACAGGATTGTGGCATTTCCACCCAGGGAAATGTGAGGGGGGCTTGTAGTGGCAGCCAAGGACAAGAAACCGGGAGCCAGCCTTGGCTTCAAAGATAGATGGAGAAGTATAAATAAATACATGAATAATGAGCCTGGAGATGTGATCCTGTATATTTACACACGCACACAAGGAGATTCATATATATCAAAATGAAATATTTTTAAAAAAATATCTAGAGGGCACAGGTTTTGCAATGGGTCTGTGTATCTGGCTGTTAACATGGTTGGTGGTTCGAGTCTACTCAGGGATGGCAGGATTCCTGAATTGCAGTAACTAGTAAGAGCTGTTTGACTGTGGAACGGCCTCTCTCGGGTGGTTGTGGCTTCTCCTTCACTGGAGGTTTTTAAGCAGAGGTTGGATGGCCATCTGTCATGGGTCCTTTAGATGAGATTCTTGAACTGCAGGAGGGCTGGACCCTTGGAGGGGGGGTCCTTTCCAACTCTAGGTAATGGTAAAGGGACCCCTGACCATTAGGTCCAGTCGTGGCCGACTCTGGGGTTGCAGTGCTCATCTCGCTTTACTGGCCGAGGGAGCCGGCGTACAGCTTCTGGGTCATGTGGCCAGCATGACTAAGCCGCTTCTGGTGAACCAGAGCAGCGCACGGAAACGCCGTTTACCTTCCCACCGGAGTAGTACCTGTTTATCTACTTGCACTGCGTGCTTTCGAACTGCTAGAAGGGCAGGAGCAGGGACCGAGCAATGGGAGCTCACCCTGTCACGGGGATTCGAACCAACGACCTTCTGATCGGCAAGTCCTAGGCTCTGTGGTTTAACCCACAGCACCACCCGTGTCCCCCCCCCTTCCAACTCTACAATTCCATAATTCTGTGATACCTTAGGAAGCTGCCATTGGTCTAGCTATCTAGCTCAGTGTTTTGTTTTTTTAAAAAATATTTTATTAAGGATTTTCTTGTTTTACAGAAGTGTAGTGCCTCGTTTTTTGTTTGTTTTTTCCCTTTAACATTTTTACAAATCCATTTCATTTGTTGAGGCATTAGGGCAGTGTTGTCTACTCTGACTGGCAATGGGTTTGAGACAGGGGGAACGGAGGGGGTGGCAGAGAGAGAGGAAGAGTTAAGGGAGACAAGAGAAGGGGGTGGTAGAGAAAGAATGGGCAGTGGGAGGCAGAGAAAAAAGATTAGGGAGTGGCAGCAGCGGCGGAGGAAGCCGCTCAGGCACCTGGGACAGGCCGAGTGGCCCATGGGGTGGGGTGAGCTGCCCATAGGGGCAGGGTGCACCGTGGGGCCTCCGCAGTCTGCCTGCCTCCTGCCACTCAGCTGCCCTACAGCTGGGGGGGAGGCAGTGGGCGGACTGTTTGGCCAGCGTGGAGCCTGTGCACGCCAACATGACTCTCCCAGGAGAGACGCATGACTCAGGCACACTGCAGGCCCTGCGGTGAGTGCATTTTGTCACCCTGCTCAGTGGTGACACCTGGGGCAGACAGCACCAACCGCACCCCCCTTTCTCCACCCCTGAGTGGCAGAGAGAGAGAGGAGCAGGGCAGAAATGGGTGACTTTACCCCTTTGGGGGGCTCCAACCTCACCTTCTGACTGACCTTGCTTGTTGCTAACATGCAGCTCCAGCAGAACCCCCCCCCTTCAACAAGGAAATGCAGCCCCTAGCAGGAAGAAAAAACAACATTGCCCATCCTCGTCTCACAGCTTTCGTAGAAAGTTTCATTGTCCCCTTCCCAGCCCCAAACTTGCGTCTCAAGCGAAGATGCTGCAGCTGTGATTCTCCCAACTCGGCAAAGGATTCCTGACCTACTTGCATGAATTAATCCTTCGTTCCTAATTGAAATGTAAAGATGATATCATATCGCCGCCGTCGCTTGAAAAGGAATATCGGGGGAAGAAGGTGGGTGGGTGGAGAAACGAACGGGGGGAAGCGGCAAGTGTTCGGAGAGAGAGCCCCCTCTTCCTTTAACCCGGGTGTTGGATTGTAAATCATGCATTACATGGAGGGACTGAGCATCCTCACTGCCCCCCACCCCCGTTAATGGTCTAAAACTGACTACGGTGGTACCTCAGGTTAAGTACTTAATTCGTTCCGGAGGTCCGTACTTAACCTGAAACTGTTCTTAACCTGAATCACCACTATAGCTAATGGGGCCTTCTCCTGCTGCTGCACCGCTGGAGCACGATTTCTGTTCTCATCCTGAAGCAAAGTTCTTAACCTGAAGTACTATTTCTAGGTTAGCGGAGTCTGTAACCTGAAGCGTATGTAACCTGAAGCATATGTAACCCGAGGTACCACTGTATCTAGGAGATCCTTACAACCAGGCTGAGCCAAGGAACCATACTGCCCCTTGTTTAATCACCCTTTCTGTATGCTAGGAAGTTGGGGTAGGTTTGTGATTGGAGGTGGGAGGCTGTCAATGCAAAGAAGGGGTGTTGTCCAGCAAAGGTCCCGGTGGTGATGGCCATGTGGCTGCGATTGTTGGCCATGGGCGGCTGCCCTTTCCTCCCCATCCATCACATAGCACAGGGTGCACAATGCCCGTGGGGTGTGTCATTGCGCTTGCCAGGACTTCCAGCATTGCCTGTGAAATGTCTCAGTAAAGCTGCCCTCTGAAACCCGGGAGTCTGAACTTGTCTGGGGCCTGGAATCTTGTCCCTGAGATGCCCTACCGAGGCAGCGCTGCCTAATCTGCTCTGACGCTGCACGCTAGTGTGCAGTAGCTCAGGTTCAGATTTTACGATTGAAGCCTTGCAGTGCCATGGCCATTTCACGCATTAAGTCCCCAGTCAGCTGGGAGTTCCCTGGGGCATGCTTGGCGTGGCAGCATAAGTCCGGCAGGGCCCTGGCAGAATCCCCCAGCCAGCTTAGCCCTCTGAGTTCTGGGGCAAGCGTACTCCAGGTTTCGGAGCAGTTGCTGGAAACGCCAGGGGGAGAGAGGGCTCTTGTGCTGGTGTCCGAGCTTGTGGGTTTCCCACAGGCATCTGGGTGGTCATTGTGAGAACAGTGTTCTTGTCTAGATGGTCCATTGGGCCTGATCCAGCCGTCTCTTACAGTGGTAGCTTGGGTTAAGGACTTAATTCGTTCCGGAGGTCTGTTCTTAACCTGAAACTGTTCTTAACCTGAGGTACCACTTTAGCTAATGGGGCCTCCCGCTGCCGCCGCGCAATTTCTGTTCTCATCCTGAGGTAAAGTTCTTAACCCGAGGTAATATTTCTGGGTTAGCGGAGTCTGTAACCTGAAGCGTATGTAACCCGAGGTACCACTGTATTTGGTTCTTACTAGGGAAACTTGCCCATCTCAAGTTTCCCTGCCAGTTCCACCATTTCACATGATCCTCTTTCACCTGCCTCCTCCTCCAAACTATATATTTGGAGTTTATTAGTCAGCTCTGCGAGAGACTCTTCACATCTGCCACCTCCGCAAGGGATTAGCTTTTAATGGGCTGGCTGGGCCTCTTCCTCCTAACATCTCCTGCGGCAATAACTCTTCGCTGCCTGGCTTATTTTGACATCCCGGTGACCTGTTCTTTCCATCTCGAAAGGCCTCTCTCCTCATTAACTTGTGTAGAGAGGCAGGGGAATGGCAGTGTGTTGACTCAGTGTTTAAACCTAAGCCTGTTAATTTGATAAAGCCCCTAAGAGAAGCGGGACTGGAGGCGGGAGAGAGTGCAAGGAAGGAGAGTATCATCAGATTAGTCCTGGCTGCACCACAGACCTCCCAGAGACTCAGTCAGTGCATTGGCTGTTTCATGGGACCGTTTGCAAGCCGAGCATATTCTGCCCTGGCTGCAGAGGCCAAGGAGCTTCTGTTTACTAAAAAAGACCTTGCTATTTTCTGCACTCAGGCGTGGACAGAAGCCAGTCAGTCACAAACCATTTGTTCTGCGCCGTTGCTTAGTTTTCCCATTTGGAGTTCACAGGTTTTTATGCTCCAACGGAGCTGGTGCAATATGCTTGGTCTAATGTTCTCATTCCTAAAGCATGATTTGTAAGGTAGTTAAATTTTGAATCAGGGTTCAAGATGACCTCGACAGATTGGAGAACTGGGGCCAAAACAAGCAAAAGGAAATTCAATAGGGACAAATGTCAGGTTCTGCGCTTCAGCAGGAATAAGCAGCTGCACAAATATAGGATGGGGGACACCTGGATTACCAGTAGTATATGTGAGAAGGATCTAAGGAGTCTTAGTAGACCACAAGCATAAAATGAGTAAACAGTGTGATGCGGCAGCAAAAAAAGAAAAAGTAAAAGCTAATGCAGTTCTGGGCTGCATCAACAGAAGTCTGGTGTCCAGATCAAGGGAAGTTTTGTTGTTTAGTCGTTTAGTCGTGTCCGACTCTTCGTGACCCCATGGACCAGGACACGCCAGGCACTCCTGTCTTCCGCTGCCTCCCGCAATTTGGTCAAACTCATGTTAGTAGCTTCGAGAACGCTGTCCAACCATCTCGCCCTCTGTCGTCCTCTTCTCCTTGTGCCCTCCATCTTTCCCAACATCAGGGTCTTTTCCAGGGAGTCTTCTCTTCTCATGAGGTGGCCAAAGTATTGGAGCCTCAGCTTCAGGATCTGTCCTTCCAGTGAGCACTCAGGGCTGATTTCCTTAAGAATGGATAGGTTTGTTCTTCTTGCAGTCCATGCGACTCTCAAGAGTCTCCTCCAGCACCATAATTCAAATGCATCCATTCTTCGTGATCAGCCTTCTTTATGGTCCAGCTCTCACTTCCATACATCACTACTGGGAAAACCATAGCTTTAACTGTACGGACATTTGTTGGCAAGGTGATGTCTCTGCTTTTTAAGATGCTGTCTAGGTTTGTCATTGCTTTCCTCCCAAGAAGCAGACGTCTTTTGATTTCGTGACTGCTGTCACCATCTGCAGTGATTATGGAGCCCAAGAAAGTAAAATCTCCCACTGCCGCCATTTCTTCCCCAAGGGAAGTTATAGTACCACTCTATTCTGCCTTGGTCTGATCACATCTGGAGTCCTGTGTCCAATTCTGGGCACTGCAGTTTAAGAAGGATATGACACGCTGCAATGTGTGCAGAGGAGGGGGAACCAAGATGACCAAAGCTTATGAAGAATGCTTGAGGGAGTTGGGTATGTTTAGCCTGGAGACTGAGAGGTGAAATGATAGCCATCTTCAGGTATCTGAAGGGCTGTTACATGGATGTTGGAGCAAGCTTGTTTTCTGCTGCTCCAGAGGAGAGGACCTGAACCAGTGTCTTTAAATGTCAAGAAAGGAGATTCCAATTAAACATGGAGGAAAACTTTCTTACGGCATGAGCTGCTCAACAAAGGAACAGGCTTCCTCGGATGCTGGTGGACTCTCCTTCCCCGGAGGTTTTTAAACAGCGGTTGGATGGCCATTTGTCAGAGATCCTTTTAGCTGTGGTTCCTGCACTGCAGGGGTTGAACTAGATGACCCTTGGTGTCCCTCTCCAGCTCTACACTAGTGAGCCGCTATGATTCAAAATGCGGCCTAGGTCTCCATCTCCCCCATGTCAGCATGTTTCAAAGAGAGTTTGTTGCTTGTACTGGGTATGTCCATCCCGGTTTCTCCGGTTTTTCCAGTTTGGGGCTATTGGTTTTTTTTAAAAAACTCCTACAAAGTAGTTCAGTGGCTGAACACAGAGGATTGGCAGCCTGTAGCTTCTGTCCCCACAACCAAACACTTTTTTCCCCTTTCTGCCAGGCCTTGGATCAGCGAGGAGTTAAAAGACCTGATCCTGAAGATGCTGGAAAAGAACCCTGAAACGAGGATCACGGTCCCTGAAATTAAGGTAAGTGGGACATGAACTTTGATAGGAACAAAGGAAGCTGCCTTATATGTTTACTTGTCCTTCCAGCTCACTGACCGGCAGTGGCTTTCCAGGGTTTCAGGCTGGGTTTCCCCCAGCCATTCCTGGAGATGCCAGAGTTTGAACCTGGAACCTCCCTGGCTTGCACAGACTTTGAATTTTGCCACCTCTGGGCTGTTAAGTATCAGTGTCCCTCTCGTTTACATGTTAAGTTTTATTAGAGTTGCCCCACCAAGCTGTGCCTGACCTCAGCCAGCCCCACCTGCCCAACATCTAGCTGCCACCAACACCTAGCTGCCACCTCTCAGGATTTGCCGCCTGAGGCAGCCACCTCACTCTGCCTCTTGCTAGGGCTGGCCCTGGCCGTGATAGCCTTCGCTTGTGTCTTCCATGCAGCTGCACCCTTGGGTGACGAAGTTCGGAGAGGATCCTCTGCCTCTCGAGGAGGAGCATTGCACAATTGTGGAGGTCACCGAGGAGGAAGTGAAGAACTCAGTCAAGACAATCCCGAGTTTGCCTGCTGTGGTGCGTACCGCTGCCATTGCGACACTGTGTTGTGCAGGGCTTAAAAGCCACCATCCCTCTGCATTGTGTGGTTGATGGTACAGAACTGGGTGGTTGGCTAATGGCCGATGTGGGTGCTCTTTGTCCAAAGTTGTGTTGCAACACACCACATTAAGCTGCTGAGTGGAAGGAGGTTGGATCCTGTCTTCCCCAGCAGAAGGAGATGAATGCTGAGATGGATGCTTTAGGATTTGACTGGGGAGCTGGTTCAGAAGGTCAAGAGCTGCTGCACTGACAGTAGCCTTGTCTGTGTTTTTCCGCTTGCTTCTTCTCTGCCCTAAATTGCCTGCTCAACCTATATATTGCAAGCAACTTATCAGGCGAGCCTAACATAATAAGAATGCTTATATTGGAAGCCACCATCATAATCTGGTATGCAGCATTTGAAATTCACCAAGCACATTTTGCACCTGGCTCTCGGCCACTTGCAGCCAAGTGAAGATTCCCAGGCGTCAAGATGGCGCCTGATGTCTCCACCATCTGGAACTGCATGCCTGGGGATCCTTGGGTCTTGCCTGTTTTCACACACTAACTACACATCCCGTAGAATTCTACCTGTTATATTTTATCTGCACAATCAGAATGAGTTTCAGGAACCAATATGTCAAAAAATACAAATTTCGAGACGTCTGGCCCCAAAATGGCAACTAGGCATTCTGTTCTGGCAACTGCAATCCTGGTTTAAGGAGCTATTTGGCGCCTAGAGTATGTATCTGAGTCTCTAACACGGCTGCCATGTAGGGGGCATCCCTGATGCAGTGGACTGTAAAACTCTCTGTGCACCTCCTCCAAAAGTGTGGCAGCTGCTCACTCGCTCTTTCTCCAGGCAGTTTTGAGAACGAAGCAACTGTTAGTGCAAGGAGATGCTGCTGGATGCTTGGCACCCCAGCAAGCTGCCTTGTTTACCTTTATGGCTCGGCTGGCTCTGGCATTTATCCAGGACTCCAAGCACGTTGGGACGCGGGTGGCGCTGTGGGTTAAACCACAGAGCCTAGGACTTGCCGATCAGAAGGTCGGCAGTTCGAATCCCCGTGACGGGGTGAGCTCCCGTTGCTCGGTCCCAACTCCTGCCAACCCAGCAGTTCGAAAGCATGTCAAAGTGCAAGTAGATAAATAGGTAGCGCTCCGGCGGGAAGGTAAACGGCGTTTCCGTGTGCTGCTCTGGTTCGCCAGAAGCGGCTTAGTCATGCTGGCCACATGACCCGGAAGCTGTACACCGGCTCCCTCGGCCAATAAAGCGAGATGAGCGCCGCAAGCCCAGCGTCGGCCACGACTGGACCTAATGGTCAGGGGTACCTTTACCTTTACCAAGCATGTTCTTGTTTCCACTGTGAAATCCTTCCTAGTGATTTGAGGTGCTTGGCGCACTCTGTCCCTTTAAGAACAAAAGAATAGCTCTGCTGGGGTCCAGCATCTTGTTCTCACAGTGGCCAAACCAACGCCTGTAGAAAATCCACATGCAGGACTCAAGCGCATCAGCAATCTCTGCGGTTTCCATCAAGTGGTATTCAGAAGAAATGCTGCCTCCTAGTGTGGAGGGGAGAGCACAGCCGTTTGCCCAGTCCTCTTGTAAAACCATCCAAATTGGTGACCACCACTACCTCCAGTGGGAGAGAGTTCCATAGTTTAACAGCGTGCTGTGTGAAGAAGTGCTTTCTTCTATCTGCCCTGAATCTTTTTTTTAATAAGCTATTTTTATTAAAGCTTGAAACAAAGAAAGAAAAGATAATATACAGAAATAAATATCAAATATCAAGCATTTTTTAATCTGTCCTGAATCTTTGGACATTTAGCTTTATTGGATGTCCATCAGCTCTAATGTTACTGGGGAGCGAGAAAAACTTTCTGAACAGGCTGCAGTTGCAAAACAAAAAACATACAATCACGTTTTTTTAAAAAGAAGGCTGCAATTGCAATCTTGGGCCTGAAAGTTTGGAAAGGCTTTCTAGAAATAGATGAGTGACATGTGTTCTTCTTCTTCTCTGTGATCCATTTGCAATCCTGATTTCTTTTCTTCTTCTTACCCCTTCCCTAAAGATTTTAGTGAAAGCCATGCTGAGGAAACGATCTTTCAGCAACCCATTTGAGGCCCAGGCCAGGCGAGAAGAGAGATCCATGTCAGCTCCTGGAGACTTATTAATGTATGTACCTCTTTTTCTAGTATTTGTCTACAGCAGGGTAGGGGAGCCACACTACAAAGACAGGAAAAGGGTTCTGTACCCGGGATCTGTGGAGATCTGGGAGGAAGTGACAAGCTCAGGAGCAATCATGTTACACGCCACCACAATCTCCGAGTAGTGAGAGACTCCCCGGGGTGTGCCGACCCTTTCCCAGGGTTCAGTTTCCTTGGAATGAAGGTCAGCAGAGACTGTGGTGTCATTAGGATATATGGTTTTATTTACACATACATACATCCAAAGGACAAGATGGACATGCTCACAGCATTGATACTCCAACAGATCCTGTTTCTCCATTAGTCACAGATTTGGATCCAGCACAGAGCAAGTCTGTGTGTCTCCATCTTCCATTTCACCCACATTGCTCTGGCTATGGTTCTCCTACATAGCTGCTAGGTGGGGTGGGTGGAGACAAGGCCCACCCATTAGCCTGGAGGGCACCATCGCTTAGTTGCAGCTCTTGCAACCTGGTTTATTCTTTTGGGATGCTGATGAGGACACTTCAGTGGCCAGCTAAGGTCGTTGTCTTAAACTTGTCTGACCTGTTCAGCAAAACCTCCTCTCTGAGATTCTTGGGCACAGGGATCCAAGAACTGCAAGGGTCTCTGGGTATCATCCAGACTGACCCCACAAACCCACAAAGGGGAAGAATTATTTGAAGGCAGGAGATTGGCTGGGTGCTGAGGAGGAACTGGAAGAGCCCTCACACAGTTGCACTGTTCATGATGCTCATTTGCACTGCATTCAAAACCAATTGGGAAAAGGGAAAGTCTCATTTTTAGCAAACAGAAAAGCGGTACCCTAAAAGTTGCATTTTAAATTATTTTTAAATCCCCAATTTATAATTTTGCATAATGTTTCCAGTGTTCATATTTCTCTAAAAGTAAATTAAGGGCCCGAAGACAAGGCAATTAAAAAAGCTTTCAAATCGCACAGTCGGTCCTTAATTTGCTTTTAGAGAAATAGTAATTGGTGTGTTCCTTGCCCTTACAAACCCCCCCCCCCGAATTATGTATTGATTCTGTGACCATCAGGATTAATGTTTAATCATTTTGGCATGGCAACTTTGGACAGCCGGGTTCACTTTTCGACACCCAGTTCCAAATTGCGGCAAACTGAAATAGATTTTCTCTTTTTCAAGGAGACAGAAATAGCAAAACAAATTGCAAGCTTTCTCTTTGGGGGGGTTGAGATGAAGGTGGGGGGACAGAAGCTTTCTGTTCTGATTTGCGTATTCTTGACATTAAGGTTTTATCTGTGGGCAGAGAAGGAATAACGCCTTTGCACAGGGAATAATGAAACGATAAAACCGAACCAATTATCAGTGGTTGATGCTAATCTTTCCCCCTGTATGGGTTTCTCCACAGGATGTGCAGAAGTGAAAGGAAAATAGTAATTAATTATGTGAGCCAGGTGGTTAAAATAGAAACTGGTGCAGTTTTGTAGTACACCTTATACTATGTAGAATATACTACAATACTGCAATTACTAAAAACTACAAATACGCGTTCACAACATACATTTGAAGCCTGATGAAAACACTTCAGACAACCATGGCTGCTAAATACCCCCAAAAAAGAACTCTGGGAGCTGTAGCTTGTTGAGGGTGGCTGAGAGTTGTTAGGAGACTCCCATTCCCCTCTCAGAGCTATCATTCCCAGAATGCTTTCACCATTCAGCCCTTTCCCCAGGGAATTCTGGGAATTGTAGCTCTGTGAGAGGAATAGGGGGTCTCCTCCATCTCCCAGCATTCTTTGGGGGAAGCCATGACTGTTTACAGTGGTATCATAGTTTCCTGTCCTACGGGTCCAAAAGCTGACCAGGGCGAAGGATTGATTGATGCCCCAAAGAACCCAGTTTCAGGGATTCCAAAGAAAGTTCTAGCACTTCATTATAGAGACATAGCAAGAGACTTACATGCAACAGTGCAGTGCTGAATTCCTTGCTGCCACACCTCAAGATGGATGTTGAAGCGGCTTTGTCAGTGAGGGGCTAATTGTACATGGGCTACTCACATGAAAAGCGAGCTACGTAAGCTGGCAGCAGTAGCTCAGTTAACCACCCTTGGCTTAGAGGCCTGTTCCCCACGCCCACCCCTCTCTCAGAAAAAAGGAGTAGTCGACAGCCAGTGTGAGAAGCTTCCCCTCTCCCAACTAACTGAACCAAAAGTAAGGCTTCAAAGCAAAGCAGATGAGCATATATGATCTCATTTGACAGCTCACACCTATTAGTCCCGCTTGACTACCGAGAGGGCCTTTATAGGCCTACCGGGATATTCACACCGTGTACACAGAGTGCTTTTGCCTAAATTGACTCTCAGCACAATCCTATGCAGGTTTACTCAAGAGAAAGCTCTATGGTATTCAGTAGCTTGCTTCCAGGTGTAGGATTCACCCATTGAGCTCAAAGTAATTTAGGTCCTGGAACCCAGGGACAAGTCTTTCTGAGTCCATGCGCACTGCAGGGTGCAGAACCTCTGGCCTTCCAGATGATGGCGCTGTAGTTGTCATCCAGCAAAACCTGGAGGGCGGCAGGCTCTCTGTCCATGGTGGAGTGGCTAACCTTCCAGGTGTTGGGTTGCAACTCCCATCCTTCCTCTCCATGGACCCCATTGGCTGATGGGAATTGGAGTCCAGAATGTGTTGGGGGGGAAGGCTGTTCTCAGCCAGGGGCTCCGAGCACCAGAAAACCCCATCAAATCATCATGGGCTGTGTGAGAAAAGTCCTTGTCTTCCATCCCTCCATATACTTCCTTTGAACAACTTCCAAATCCTCCATGAAGATACCATCTCCTTGCCTTTTCCCTCACTCTCACCCCACCCATCCCCGTTGATTTTCAAAAAATATTATTTCTGCATATATATTTCTTTTACTTTCTGTCTCAATTCATGCAATCTCATTGCTGGGTTTTCCCCCCGTTTCCTTTGTCTTCGTGGTTTGTCTCCAGGCATGGTTTCCGCTTAAGCCCATCTGTCTATTTGCACCCAGCTTTAAGGTAACTCGGTGTCTTGCGCTGTGACCTTTTCTCCCGTCTCGTAATTTGGTGGTGCCTGTGTGTGTTATTAGAGAGAATCTCTTTCACTGTTCCTAGAAGAGTGGGTATGTTCCACTGTGTCACGCTCCACGTTCAGTCATGAATACAGCCTGCCCCCTTTCTCCTCCTCCCTCTTCCCCTTCTTCCATATTCTCTCTTTCTTTGTTTTTCCCCTTCCTTTATTTTTAAAAACTTCTATTGATGCAGCCTGTGCGCTGTGGGCAGCTCAAGGTTAACAAGAGAGCTGTGGACCAAAACAAGTCCTGGAAATGGAGGCAAATGGAACACTAAGCTGGAGTTTCCTAAGCAGAGAAAACTATATTTGCAGACTGATGCCTCAGGAGAGGTAGAGGGCCGTAGCTCAGTGGGTAGGGCATCTGCTTCTCACACAAAAGGTCCTGGGTTCAATCCCCAATGACATCTCTAGGTAGGGCTGGGAGAGACACTGCCAGTCAGTGCAGGCAGTAATGAGCTAGATGGACCAATGACATATAAGCTTCCTGTGTAGTGCTGAAGGAAAACTTATCCTGCATTTTTCTTCAACAATCCTTCAATTTAATGAGAATAAGAAGAGAGGAGGGGAGAGGAAATTTTGATGATGTTCTCGTGGGTGGGGTGCAGGGTTTTGGTCCTTCTTCCACTGCTTTTGAGGTGTTTGGGAAGGGTTATTTTCTTCCATACTACAAGCTAACAGTGGTCTGCGCTCGGCAGCCTCCCCGGTGGCCCACACTTCGATCAATACAAGGGAAGGCATCATGCGATTAACTCATCCCTCTTTGGCGCCTTTTTAGGACCAGAAGCGGCAGGCGGTCAGGGAAAGTTCTGAAGGAACATCTCCTGGAAAGAAAGTCACAAACACACACAAACCCTTAGCCACCTCAGAATCAATAAGGCCAGCTCAGAACCCCATGCCGCCCCACTCCAGTGCTAAGGAAATTCAAATTAATTGGCAGAGCACTCCAAACATTGCAGAGCCTTCATCCTGGCATGCCTAAATTTCCCCTCAGCGACTCTGGAGGGAAGAGACTTAAAGAGCCTCCACCATGAACGCAAGTCTTCCAAGAATCTCCTTCACCAGCCTAAAATTTGGTTTCCTCAGAGGTTGAGTGGTCGAAAAACGGATTCTGTCACTATTGGATCCATGCACTTTTCAGAATTCTACCAGGAGTCAGGCTTACTAGCATCATCTAAAACAGGCTTACTCAGCCTCGGCCCTCCAGATGTTTTTGGCCTACAACTCCCATGATCCCTCGCTAGCAGGACCAGTGGTCAGGGATGATGGGAACTGTAGTCTCAAAACATCTGAAGGGCCGAGGTTGAGGAAACCTGATCTAAAAACATAAGGAAAGCCTGCTGAATCAGGCCAGTGGCAGCATCCTGCCCTCACAGTGGTCACCCAGGCAAGCAGGAACCAAGCGCAAGAGCCAGTGTGGTGTAGTGGTTAAGAGTGGTAGACTCGTAATCTGGGGAACTGGGTTCGCATCTCCGCTCCTCCACATGCAGCTGCTGGGTGACCCTGGGCTAGTCACACTTCTCTGAAGTCTCTCAGCCTCACTCACCTCACAGAATGTTTGTTGTGGGGGAGGAAGGGAAAGGAGAATGTTAGCCGCTTTGGGACTCCTTCGGGTAGTGATAAAGTGGGATATCAAATCCAAACTCTTCTTCTTCTTCTCTCCCCTTCCTGGGGTTTCCAGCAACTAGTATTCAGAAGCATTACTGCCTCTAACTATGGAGGCAGAAGATAGCCATTGTGGCTGGGAGCCTCCCCATGCAAAAACAAATGAGCTGCTGCTATACAGGAGAGAGAATTTGTTGCCTTTCTGGATGGCTCTGCAAATCGGAAGCTGCTAGAAGTTACCGGAACCTGTGTCATCCTGAGCTCGGTCATTATCAGTTAATTGGAGCACCGTTTGGCTCTCCCAGGCAGCGTTTCTCATTAATTTAGGCAATTAGCTGTACTGTATCACCTGGGAAACACTGTCATTGGGGGGAGAGAACCGATCCCTTTCAGGAAATGGCTTTTTTCATTTTTTTAAAAAAGATCGCCTTATGTGGCTCTGGGGAGAAGGTGGAGGTGGAGAGCTTGGCAAAACAGCTTGGAGACTAAAGTCTTGTGACCTGAGCCTAATGACAGCATCAGGGAAGGACTCTGGGGCAGATTTCCAGAGACTCACATTCAGGAAAATGAACATGGGACACACACACCCTTCCCAATGAAGTGGGAGTGGCTTACCACATTTCAAAGAAAATAAAGTAATGCTTTGCTAAAGAGTTTGGGGGTATGTAAGATGAGTGCCATACCAAAAGCCTATTCTACATCCCCACCGCCCTGCCCACCATTCCCCCTCAATTAACAAGAAAAGAAACGGCACTTGGAAGTTATCAGAAGGGAAATAAAATGTTCATGAAATTCTAACAAGCATTTTTGTTCTGCTTGCCTCCCTTTTGAACCGGGCAGGGGGGTCTCTTAGACTGTTCTTCCTTCCATTCTATAAACTAACTCACCAGTGGTCTGTATGCTACAGCTTTCCTGCATGCCCACATTGCCATCACAGGAAGTGCAGGCACCCAGGGAGGCTGCAAGGAGCTGGACAAATCTTTCCTAGAAAGGAAAACGCATAATGTCGAGGTTAGAAAAATGGCAGTGTCTTTTGCAGAGGAATAAAATATTTGAGAAACTGGAGAGCAGATTTCAGCCTAGCAGTACATAAGACCGTGAAGTCCAGAATCTAAAATTATCTAACTGTACTCACTGCTTGTGCTTCCGGCTTACATACCACCAGTTATAAAACACCTTCCCAAAGTGGAGAAGTAGGTGAGTGAGTGAGTGGACCATTGGTCCATCTAATTTAGTAGTGTTTGTACTGACTGGCAGTGGCTTTCCAGGGCTTTCAGCAGGAGATTTTCTCCTACCTCCACCTGAAGACTGAAACTCAACCTGGGACCATTTTTCTCTGCTAAACAGATTCTCTGTGAATGAGCTATGGCCCTCTCCAGTAGGGACTACCACACCCAGCTTGCTTTCTTCTGTAATGGGTGGGGTTTTATAATGTGTATCTTTTGAACATGCGCAGAAAGCAAGGGAGCCGAGAAGGGTTGAAGGACCCCGACCTGCCTGACGTATCTGAAGACGAGGCCACATCCTGAAGCCCCGAGCATGTCGCACACCGATCACTTAACTGCTGCTACCGTGACCATCGTATCCAGTGGTGTCGTCCTGCACGCCATGCTGTTTTCATCAACCAAAGTTTGTGACTTGCAAAAAGAGAGAGAAAGAGAGAGAGATTCCTGCTTTGCAGGCGGTTGGACTCGAAGTCCCTTTGGGTCCCTTCCAACTCTATAATCCTATGATTCTATCATATTGAAGGGATAAAACGGTGGGAGTCCCAGCTGGTGGGACAAGAAATGGCCCATGGAAGAGCTGGCTCTCCGGCTGCCCACATCTGTTTACGTCTTAAGACATTTTGGTGTTGTATACTGGACCATGTGCCTCATATCTTCCAGTTGTGCTTCATGATGTGATATATGTAGTCAGCGACGTACGGCGATTCGACCGATGAATGTGCACCAAATGTTCTTTGCTAGAGAATGCTTGGTTCAGAACCACCCATGTACATCCCGGCTCCCGGCATTTATTTATTTTTGTTTCGGAATTTCTTAGTCAGGTTGCCTGCTCAAGCCCAACGTTGTCTGTTACGCAACCTGCTATAATGGAACAGGTGTGTTCTAAGCTGCCTCCATTAAGCAGCCCTTTTACCTTTCAGAATTTAATTGGCCCAACCTTCTCCCAATATAAAGTAGACCTTGACACCAGGTGAATCACAAAGCTTCAGACAAGTTTTCCCCCAAACCAAACTATGCCTTTACTTGCAAGTTTCGAGTCGAGCAGTTTTTGAGAAAATGCTTTAAAAATAAACAAACTAGTTTTACGCTTTGAGTACATACCCACAAAAGCAAATAGAAACAGAGATAAACCGCATCCAGTTAGACCTATTCTAGACTATCCCTAGCCCAGCAAATACTCATCAGTACAGTGGTTTCTAGTCTTCTTGGTTCAACTTCTCAAGACAGGATCCATTGCAGGTTTTCATCCAGGGCCTGTGCTTCAGGTTTCTGCTATTTTTTTCAATAGAGTTCTTATTTCAGTTCTTTCTTAGTTCCCACCTCTGTGTGTTTCGGCTTTTTTCTCATAATTTCTTCAGCTCTGATCTCTTTTTTAAGCCTATTTTCTTTATCAACTTTACTTATGTACGAAACTTCCCCTCGCAACCTTTTAGGCAGTCAGAAAGGGAATAGAGTCCTGGTTAAGTTTCTGTTTTTCCCTAATTGCCAGGCTGAACCATTGACCCTCTTGTGCAATCTTCCTCTTCCTGTGAGCTTTTGACCGTCCTGTGCAAAAGAGCATATCTCAGTGACCCGTGTGCTTTAAACAGGTGCCTTTGGGTTTAAAGAATGCATCAGAAACACTCCCATCCGTGCCCACATCCATCATGCTTCAGCTGGTTCTGTAGGAAGCAGCTGGAAAATTGGAAGATGGCCACTTACCTTCATCCATAGCCCTTGGGTTTTGGTAGTAGAGCTTGTCATCTCATGGACTTTCAGAAGAGTCTGGAATTGATTCTGTAGATTCCCTACCGTGGGATTGGTTAGAATCGGCCCCTTGTGCAATCTACAAAGCCTGGGGTTGGCTAGCATCAAGAAATGTTGATCATGCAGATCAGGGAGGGAGAGTAGTTAGTGGTCTGAAGATTGCCAATCAATCTTAGATGCCCAAGAAGGGGACACAATCAGCACAAAGTAAAGCATCCCTAGGATGAAAAGACCATTGCAAACTTTCTTGGATTCCGTCTGAAGTTCATGCAAGCAAATCCATAATGAGGAATGACGCTCTGTGCCTGTATGATGATCAGAACAGTGGCTTGTCTATATCCTACAGCAGGCATAGGCAAACTCGGCCATCCAGATGTTTTGGGACTACACCTCCCATGATCCTAGCTAACAGGACCAGAGGTCAGGGATGATGAGAATTGTAGTCCCAAAACATCTGGAGGGCCGAGTTTGCCTATGCCTGTCCTACAGTGACCAGAAGCAGCTTGCTGTGTCCTGCTGTAGGAAGGAAGGAAGGAAGAGATTAAAGGAGACAGGTTGCTTGCAAAATAATTTCAATTCGACTTTGCTCAAGGATAATCTCCAAGTCACACCTGATCCCTTCCTTCCTTCCTTCCTTCCTTCTGAAGCCACACAAGCCTGTAGCTGCTGAATTTTTACAGCAGTTTTGATTGCAGGAATTGAGCCTACGAAATCTTTAAAAGACTATAAAAGTTTTTTTGGGGGGGGTTAAGGGTGGAAGGTGTAGGAAATGGGTCAGCCATTAATAGCATCCCTGGCTACCCTATAACTTGAATCCTTTTATTCCGTGTTTTTTTGGGGGGGGAGTAATGATAGCAGGAGCAGTAATCCGACTCACAAAAAGACTGCACAAAAATCAACAAAAGGAAAACCAGTGGCTTTACTAACAGAAGATTGGAAGTTCATCTGTGCTAGTGAGAGAGGATACATTCAATTCAATTCAGTTCAATTCAATCTGCACTTGAAAGGAGAACCTACTTAATCTACACTGTATCAATATGTCTTATATATAACTGGACCTTGGAGCTTTTTTAAAACAACAAATGGTGTATAAATTTTCTAAGTAAAATATATCTAACTAGGAGCTGTCACCCCTCCTTGCTCTTCTGGTCAATCCCACCAAACCTCCACCCCTTTTCCATCCCCTTCCGCCCACGCCAACCAATTCCAAGGCAAATGTATCAAAATCTCATTCTACAAAGCAATATGCAAACCAAAAACTCAGGCGTCTCTCAAAATTCACACATCTCTGAATTTTGCAAGGCACTTCTCCCGCTAACTCATGTGGTCAAAAATGCACATGGCTAGGTGCGAAGTGTGCCTAGGAATGCATATATTAGAGAGAACCACATACAGAACTGCACTGAGAAAAATTGCTTTGCAAGATGTGTATATTGGGAGAAATTGGGACCGAAATGCTCAAGGATTTTCCAACCCTCAGGAAGTTTCTGTTGAAATCTGTTTCTGCCTGTTTCGTTCTAGTCCCATGTTTTCTGCCCCCATCTTTCACATTTGTGGGGAATTGTGGAAGGACCACACTTTTCTTTAAGACTGACGTTCAGATTTATCATTCCCAGTATTCAGAGCTGTATTCCGTCTCTCTGGAAATTATAGCCAACCGTTCTTCACCCTCCCCAAATTGGCTTCAGCAAATTCTGTCGTTTTCCAGACTTGCAGCAGTCAGTCAGTCATCCATTCCTGATTATTTCCTCACCAAACCATCCATTGCTACCTCGCGAATTATTGCTAATCCTGTTCAAGTACTTATTAATTTGATGTCTGTAAAGTGTGCTTTATAACCGTAAGTGGGCCAACAGACAATATAATTCCTCTTGCATGGCTGGCGGGCATGAAACTCAACAGGATATTAGATCATATTGAGCATGGATACAGTGTCAGCACTCCGTGTATACAATAGTCCTGTATGGGGGCTAGTTTGATTGCCCCAGTGTTACAGTTTGGTTCCAAAGCTGGCATTTGGTGGCTTGGCTGAGAGTTCCCAGCTGGGATGAGACTTAGTACTAATAATAATTTTATTATTGGTTCCCCACTCTTCTGACTGGGTTGCCCCAGCCACTCTGGGCAGCTTCCGACATATCTAAACACGTAAGAAAACATCAAAGTTTTAAAAACTTCCCTATACAAGGTTGCCTTCAGATGTCTTCTAAAATGGTTAGTTATCTCCTTGGCATCTGATGGGAGGGCGTTCCACAGGGAGGGTGCCACCACCAAGAAGGCCCTCTGCCTGGTTCCCTGTACCAGGGACTTGGAACCTAGGATGGTGCTGGCTTCTAGCTTCTGCTCTTAATGGTGCCCCTACATTACTGCAGATTTGTCCCAGTCGCTGAAGCATTGGAGTGGGCTTGGATGTTCCTGCAAATAGGGCCAGGGAGCTCCTGCCAGCCTAGCAGTTTGAAAGCACACCAAAAAAAGTGCAAGTAGATAAATAGGTACCACTCCGGCGGGAAGGTAAACGGCGTTTCCGTGCGCTGCTCTGGTTTCAGTGTTCTATTGCGCCAGAAGTGGCTTAGTCATGCTGGCCACATGACCTGGAAAACTGTCTGCAGACAAACACCGGCTCCCTCAGCCTGTAAAGCAAGATGAGCGCCGCAACCCCTGAGTCATCTGCAACCGGACTTAACTTTCAGGGGTCCTTTACCTTTTAAGACCTTTTGAGGCTCTAAGCACTGAAAACATTGCGGTGCCCTCCACCCCCTCAAAAAAATGCACCCTTGTAATTAAAAATAAAAATAGTACTAAAGTTATTTTTTAATGGCGCAGAACGTACATGTATGCATGCCTAAATTAAGGTAGCCTCATTCTGAATTTTCTGATTGCAAAACTCTCAAGCAGCTCATCTATGTTGCACATTGCAAAGGTAGGTGAGATAAGTCAAGCCTCTCCTGAAATGTTGTTCCCTGAGGGGTTTTTTATTTCCACTTGAGTAAAAGAGCATTCTGCAGAGCAGTAATTGCCAGTGAGAAAAGTGATGGCTGCTTCAATGCTTTTTTTTTTTAATGTCAAATTATTGTTAATTCAATTTATATGCTGCCCTTTATCAAAAGATCCCAGGGCAGTGTACAACAGTAAAAACACATTGCAGAACATCCGTGATAAAATCATAATGAAATGCGTACTGACAGACAGCCTTATAATAAAATACCATCATGATAACAGTCCTCTCCCCCACACTTTCACAAGCCATAGATTATTTAATAGCCATAGGCCCGGCTAAAGAGGAATGTTTTTGCCTGGCACCTAAAGGCATGTAGTGATGGTGCCAAGCAAGCCCCTTTGGGGAGAGCATTCCATGATTGGGGAGCCACAACAAAAAAGGCCCCGTTCTGTGCGGTGGGGGACATAGAAAAGGGACTCTGATGATGAGTGCAGGGTCCGGGTCGGTTCATACGGGTTCAAATTCTCCCCCCTCCCAGATTCTCCCCCCCCCTTTTTTCTTTTTGTACTGGTGTGCTAAGCACTTGCTGTGACTTCTGCATTGTCGCCTAGATGACCCTTGACCCCCCAACTCTACCATTCTATGCTTCTGTTGGGTAAACCACCACTGTCTGCAAATGGCATATCCTTTGGCAGTGAATAGAATAACCCCCTACTTGTCCATATCTCTGAGGCTCAGGAGCGACTTAAGCTTTTTAGGATCTGCATGCCATCACACACTGCCGTCACCATTACAGGAAATCTGCTATGATCACATCCCTTATTCCAAACGGGTGTACGCTTCTCAGCTAGTTATATTCTTGATGTTGTCATGTGCCTTATTTAATTTTAAGACTCTATAATAAAGACACACGCCCACATCCCAAAATATGATGTCGAGAACATATAGAGGATAGCATTTCAATCCACGCTGCCACATCTTGTTTTCCCTGCTTTGTACCCAAGCCACCGGCCCGTTGTCTGTCGACGTGTATGTGTCTATTGTGAAAACCAACCTGTATTTCTCCCTAGGTGTGTGCATGTCTGTGTGTACATGCACAAGCCCCCAAACGGAAAGCATGAGTCGTACACAGCGATGGCATTCGAGACCATTGCTGCACTGTAAATATGTACCATGAATATAGAGAGAGCCTATTTAGGGTGGGGCGGGGTGGCGGGTTGCATGCTTTTGTACTGTACTCTGGAAAATGGAAGGGCAGGGGGTGGAAATTCCAATAAAAGTCCTTGGAATAAACTTATTGTCTGATGAAATGATTGAAATGGAAGACCACGTAGATTCCTTTGGGCATTTCATCGGGGAGTGGTGCACTTTTGAGCCTGTGGAGCTTGAGTCTCTTAATCTTAAGAGTCGTAGGTTCTAGCCCTGTGTTGGACAAAAGATTCCTGCATTGGAGCGGATGACTCTTGGGGTCCCTCGGCTCTCCAATTCTATATCACACTTGCCTTGCATGTTCTGGCCTCTTTTTTGTAGAAAATCAAGAACAGTTGTAGTGAGAGATTTAAGGCTGCGATCTCATGGAGGGCATCCCAGGGACCACAGGATACTTCAGAATCCCCTTCCCGATGTTGCAGATCTGATGTCTGCTCCCTGTGGCCATGGAAACATCCCTAGCCCTACCAAGGTTGGCGCTCTGATGTTGGTAGCTACAAAGAGAAGTATCTGGGGTGGTTTAGGAATGTGCCAGGGCGGGCCTGGAAAAACATTGGGATGAAAAGGAGCCAAAGATCTTCTGGTCTCCTGACATACCCCAAACCGAGGGGAGACTTGGGCCTAAATCTTTCCCTCCTGTTATTTGCAATGGGAAGCAAAGTTATTTTTAAAAAAGCAATTTAAAAGGTTGGAAACAGAGGGTCATACCTGTTCAGCTTTTACCACACTCCCCATAGGCTCTCAGCCTGAAATACCCTTTTCTCCCACTCACTTTGAAATAGGATGTGCCAAGTTACGAGGCACTCAGAAGCTTTCTTCTATGCAACTTGGCCTGTAAAAAGGGTATTATTTAAAAACACTTTCAGAATTCCCTTGGTGCCCTCTGCTGGCCTAAATATTCAATAGTTTTGTTTATGCATTGGACGGACTCCAACCACATTTGTTTTGTTTTGCTCCGAGGTGTAGCAGTTTAGGGTTGCGGAAGGTCAAAAGACCCGTTACTATTTCTGTGGCAGGGTCTCTGTGTGTCTCCAGCATCCTAGAACCAGCTAAGGGTTGACGCTTCTTGGCCACAAAGAAGAAATCTTTCAACGCTTTGTACTCATTGGAGCCAATCAGAATGGAAAGAAGGAGAGTCCATCCCCTGAGGATAGGCTCCTAGGGTCACTCTGCAGAAGGGGCACAGGAAGAACATCGAGGAATTGTTCTGCATGCTTCAAAGCTAGGCATTTAGGAACCCTGAAAACACAAGGCGCCCAGTTTCAAGAATGTGCAAGCTTTGCTGCGTACAATGGAACTTCAGGGGAAACACAAGTTAGGTCACTAAGATTATATTGGAGCACTCCAAATCATTTGCCCATGTATGTGTATGGAAAGTAGATCCAGCTGAAAGGCAACATGTGGAAATCAGATTTCATCATTGCAGTGCATTCCTAAGTAGCACTGTTTAAGATGTTGTATAATCTTAGAAAGGGGCGTAGCTATGAAGATGTAACAATCATGACACTTCTGAATCTGCCACTTACAATAATGTGAATACTCACAACCTGCCATTCACCAAACGGTTTCAGGCTGGAATAAATACAAAATCAATACAGTGGTACCTCAGGTTAAGTACTTAATTCATTCCGGAGGTCTGTTCTTAACCTGAAGCACCACTTTAGCTAATGGGGGCCTCCTGCTGGCGCCGCACTGCCAGAGCCCGATTTCTGTTCTCATCCTGAAGCAAAGTTCTTAACCTGAGGTACTATTTCTGGGTTAGTGGAGTCTGTAACCTGAAGCGTATGTAACCCGAGGTACCACTGTATAACAAGTTAAAAGAACATGTAACATGAGACTATAGTTAAAACCACAGGTGTAACTAAGCAGAGACGCGGGTGGCGCTGTGGGTAAAAGCCTCAGCGCCTAGGGCTTGCCGATCGAAAGGTCGGCGGTTCGAATCCCCGCGGCGGGGTGCGCTCCCGTCGTTCGGTCCCAGC